TAGCGCGGTACTGGGTGATGATATTAAACAGGTTAATGCGCGTGATCTCGATGGTTTTCGACAGGTGTTGCTGGGCTAGGGAGAGAAAAAAGGGGATAGATATGTAGTAGAGTTTGGTAAGAAAATATTTAAAATACTTAATGTAAAACCATTTATCAAGCTTGTTTTTAATTGAAACACTGAACTTATTCGTTCAAATGCCTTTAGAATTCAAGATTTGCATCAATTGGGATATCCCATTTGTTATTAATCAATTTAACTAAGCTCTGCAAAAACTCTCAATTGTTCTTGTAACCATTTTGGCGACTTTATTTGATAGCTCATTGCACTCATTCTTTAGGACTTATCACTTTAGCTCACATGAAACGAGAAGTACTTACAAAACTTGAACTAATTTGTAGCCCTTTTAAATGTCTTAATTTAGTTAATTTAAATTCTGAATAAGCCTTACCATCTCCAGTGGGAATGGCTTCGAGGCAAGAGGTCAGCCAGGCATCCCTTGCCTGTAGGAACTTCAGTCGCAGCTCGTTGTCGCCGAAGGCCTGCATCCGGCGCAGGTAGCCCACGATCTGCAAGCACTTGGGCAGCTGCAGGTCCGTCCGGAGTTGGGACACCAGTTGCACCAGCATGGTGTGCCACAGGGCCTCCACCGAGCGCACAATGCTCTGGAAGGGATTTGATTAGATTGCGAGGGAATGAGAAGACAAGAAGAACCCACTGTGACCACGGGAATGTGGCCCTGGTGCTGGCCCAGGCGGGTGGCGTAGGCGGCCAGCTCCAAGGCCTCCTCGTAGCGACCCTCGCGGATGCAGCGCTCCATGAGTTGCGGCAGCTCGAGGACCTCCAGCAGTTGGGCGTTCTTCTGCAGCGTGATGGAGTTGAGGCGCCGCTGCTCGTTCAGCTCGGCGGAGTCCTGCAGGAAGCGCTCGCACTGGACGCTGAGGTCGGGCAGTTTGCCCACCAGCGTGTCCAGCTGCTGCTCCGAGCGCAGGAACTCACTGAAGATCGAGCGCGAGTTCTCCGCCGTGGTGATGAAGGTCCTGTAGTTGGAGATGGCCAGGTCCTGCGTCTGCTCCAGGATGCTGCGGGCCTCGTCCGCCAGGCGCGTCTGCTCCTTCTTCAGCTGCTCCACCTTGCAGGTGCCCAGTTTGGCCAGGTAGTTGTCCAGTTCCGGATTGCCACGCAAGTTGTCTGGTGGACACACGAAACCTGAGTTCTTTGGCCATTTCAGCCGCTTCCGAGGTCACACTCACCCGGCACTCCGTCCGGGAATATCAGCTTTAGCACCCTCTCGTTCTCCATATCCATTTTGTCCGGAAAATCCATTAATTCTGCGTTAAAACTTCTAAAGTCGGGAATTATCCAATTTGTTGTCGTCTTCGAAAAACAGCTGACTTCTAGCCAGTGTGGAAAGCGTTCAATTTTGAGGCTGCGGTAACGCAAGCGTGAGAAAAGAAAGTGTGCAAAAGTGCAGTCTATACGTCTGTCAAAAGCTAGATGATTTGTCACGCAGCTAACGCCTTTTCAAAAATGTGTGCTAAAAAACATGGGGGTATTTCCTAAACGACTGAATACATTTCCTGAAATTTCATGAATTCAACATCCTCTAAGCTGCTCAATCGTTGAAAACCAGAGTTGCACACCAATTTTTTTAACGCAGGACAACTCTGTAATTAAATTATATCGCTGCACGCATTATTAGTAGTCAATTAAAATTACACTAGAAGTCAAATTAAAAATTGTTCAGATCAAACTTAAAATTTTGATTAATAACTTAAGCAAAAACAATAAAAAACATGATTAAAATACAAGAAATGTTTGTTGAATTTTCAACGATTCAGCGTTTTAGTCGCTTTGGGATTTGCTAAAATAATAATAGTAAAAGTACCATTTTGTTATAAAATACATATTATATTTATTGATTTATTCAGGGGGACCGACGATTTCGAATGTCTCATTATTCAATTAACAACAATAATTTTAGATTAACTGCTTAAAAGCTGAAAGGATATACGAAACATTACCTTTTGTTTCGAAATTATTAATTCAAACTTCGCAAAGAAGAAACCGGACGGATCCCTTTAAAATAAGAACGATTTTTAAGTACTGTTTTCGTAATATTCAAGTAAACATTAGTTTAGTTTTTTCGTGAAATTTCGAAATGAACATCCTTTGCCAAGAATCTTATCATTTCGGTACGCATATCTTTTCTCCGGGGTTTTAGATCCCTGATTAAAGCGTTCATCTGGAGTGAACCTGCTTCTCAGACGCAACACTGCCGCAGTTATTATTTTGCCACTTTCACTTGCTGTGACCTAAATATCGATGGCAGAGATGTGACTGGAATGATTTTTTGTGGCGTATCACCTTCATAATTAAATTGCAAAGGGAGCAAAACTTTTGCAAAAGAAAATATTAGTTAAATATATATATTTTTTGTGTCTCAAGAATACAAAATTTTTAAGCAACAAATAAAAAAATTAATTGTTTACTTAGGGTACACCTACGTTTTTGCACAAATTTCGCAATGGCAATTATTTGGCAATCGCCAATGGAAACCGGTTTTTTGTGGACAGGAAAAAGGGAGTAAAAAATCCATCAGCGACCACCCACTCCACTGGTGGACCCGAACTCTCTCCGCCAAGCAACAAGTCGCCCCACCGCACCACCGCATCACCACCACCTCACCACCCACCGCACCACCGCACCACCACCCACCGCCGCCTGGTGGCGCAATTCTTACTCAATGGGAATTTTCGTGACCAATAAAAAACGGAGGATGAGGAACTGCAGTAACACAATATTGTTCAAGCTGTGTCTTGTGGGCGGGGATGGGGCAGCGGTGGGCAGTGGGCGGTGGGCGGCCCCGAGGGGCGGACGAGGACATAATAAACACACAACGATAATTAAACTGCGGTAAGTCCGGCCAGCAGACCGCTTTCAACAGTTCGCTGATAGCAGCGAGGGTCGGTCAAAAATAATTACAAGCAATTCTTATTTGTAGATTCATAACTTAGTTGATAGATAAAAAATATAGGTATAAAATATTTAGTTGAACAAAATGTTATTTTCCATTAGTCCATGTCCATACACTGATATTGCGGGATTTCAACAGTTTATTAAAAATTACTATTTTTCTTAAATTGTTAAATATGATTTTGACGTTCTTTCTGAAGTGCTTTAAAATTTATTTTTATTCAAGAGATTTATTGAAATCAAATTTTAATTTTTGCTAGTCCTAAAAATCTAAAATCCCGATAAATGTAGACAAATAAACTAACACACAAACTGTACGCTGTACTTTAAAAAAAAAATCCTCTACCAGTTATGATATTCACCGGTTCTAAAAAATAAAAATTTTAACGGTAACAAAGTCGTATTTAAAATAACAAAAATCTTATAGCCAAAAAACCTTTTTGATGTGTACACAAATTAATGTTTTTGGCTCATGAACACAAGTAACCTCTAAGACAACTGAAGAAATGGTTTTCCCAAATCAGATGGCTAACCGCACAGTCAACCCTCGCTAAGTGCAGCGCTCCCGCAATCAAGTCCCGAAGATGGGCGCCAAAACAAGCTCCGTTCTCGGCGCGGCGTCTAATCCTCGACTTTGGCAACAACACAGCAGCAGCAACAGCAACAGCAGCAGCAACAACACTTGCAACACCAGCGGCAGCAAATGAATCAAAACAAAGCCCAAGCAACAACAAATGTTCGGGTCCACTACTGACCTACTAAGAAGACTCCGCGACGCACTCTTCGCCTTGGAGCATGGAGCATGGAGCATCGGAACATTGGAGCATTGGAGCACTACGAGATCTGGGGGCTCTTCGGCTCGATCTTCGGGTTCGGCGTTGCGTGTGGCGCTTTTTCTTGTCGCGGAGTACGTGTACGGTGTACTCCTCTGCCTCCTAGCTTTTTGCTTTTTTTTTATTTGCGCTGGGTCGTTTTTCAGCGTTTGTCGTCGAATAATAAATAAGAAAAAGTTTTCCTGCAAAAGCAAACCAAAAAGCAAAAACAAAAGCAAGCCGAACCGTAAAAATAAAAAGCGTTTTCGCTGGCGCAGAGCTGAGATCGATCGACCACCTCTCTCTCTGCGCCACACTTCCTCTCTGCACTCATAAAAACAAATTAAGATATATTTATATTCACATAAGATATTAAAATGTGAAATATATCAAATAAATTTATAGCACTGTGTTAACAAATTTGACATTTTTTTTCAATAATTAATAGAAAGATAAACTCAAAAGTCAAAGAATTGCACATATTGGCCATATTGTTAAAAAAAATTCCGAAAACATATTTTCGATTGCCTGTTATTAATGTTCAATAATGGACAAACTCATAATTTAAAAAAAAATTAAAGTTCACTTTTAATTTCAGAAACTTTATAATAATGATGTACTTTTATAAAAGAAATCATTTCTTAAATCGCCGAAAACATAATTCGATTTTATTTCTGTCTTTGGAAACAACCTTTGCTAACATAACAAACTTTTTTACTCGGATTCCTATTCATTCCTGATAGCTACAGTTTTTGGAGTAGAAATTTTGTTTTTTTTATTTATTTCATTTAATTATTACAAATTAATGCTCGCTTTAAATTTATCTTAAAAAATGCTTCTTCATTTAGTGGTTTGTTAGCTATTGACCAATTGTTTTTTTTTAATTTATATTTATTTTTTCTTCAATTTTTCTTTATTGTTTTTAATTGTCTCACCTAGTTGATTGAATTGCTTATTTCATAGGTGAGTTTACATTAAGTATGAGAATATGGAGGTCTGCCAGTAACTAAAACCCTTTCTGAATTTCAATGAAATTACAAAGGGCAGTCTTTAGTCCCATGTGTATTGAGACCCACTGGAGCATGTGCCGATTTCTCCGAGTGTATTGTAGCTGGGGGCGCGGTAGAGGAAGAGAGAGAGAGAGACCGCCGCTTTGCCGTGGGACTTGGAGCTCGATCAGCCGCTGGTGGCGTCGCAGTTGCAAACGTGAGTCCGAAGCGTGTGAACGTGATTTTAGGCTTTTCGCTGGTTCTCCTCGACTCCTCGATTTTCCCGATTTCGGCGCAGTGGGAAAAGCCCCCCTGCACAAAGAAAAACAGAAGCGGGACCCCAGAGGTCGCGGAAACTGCATACGATTTGCAGTTGTGTGGAAATATGGACTTTACCACTAATTTTCATAGCCCTGCGAGTGAGTGTGAGCGTGCGAGTGTGAAATCTGCGTAAAACATTGCCAAATCCTTCGACAGATTTCTATTTGCACCTATTTTGCATTCGACATTTGGCATTTGCCATCGACGCGAGTGTCAATCGAGTGAAAGTAAACAATGGTGCGGACCCAAGTGGATAGGCGATCGCAGATCGCTAAACCAATAACGGTAAGTGGGGTTTGCCCAATGCCACTGCCTTGCATAACAAAGTGTCAAAAACTATACAATTGCAACAGCAAAAGTGGTAGATAACACAAAAGAAATACCAAAGGTATGAAAAACAAATTATAAAATGAAAATGCTGATAAAGGTAAAAGTCTATATAATGAATAAAAGAAGTACGATGATCTCATTTCCTTCCAGGTTGCCTATATTTTTTTTAAATACCCTATTAGAAATGTCAATTTTATTAGTATAGACTGATTTACAAGAAAATTCTAAGTCAATGGCAATAAAAAAACTTATATGGTTTCATAATATATTAAATCTGCATATCAAAGATGCAACAATCTTCCTTAAAAGCCTTTTTTTTTACTTCTCGAAAATTAAAAATTGAATAATTTATCAATGAATCTTTTACAGAAATAAAATTAAAGCAAAAAACTGATTCTGTATTAATGACGAGTTAGTGCTAGGCATTTAATTTCGTATTTTAATTTAAACTATCCCCAACTTTGATACCTACCTTGATCGAAGTTATTAGAATAAATAAACCACCTGGTATTAGAGTTTCCAAAGGAAACCCCTTAATGCCAACCAAAATATAGTAATCAACCTAAATCAGTAGCAGCTGTGTAAATTTCGATATTGCTGTCCCCTCTGGCCACAAGCCATTGATGAAAATGAAATCGCAATTAAAAGATGGTCACACGTCCCCGTCATTTTTCAAAATGTGTTGAAATCGATAAACGATAGGGCTAAGCGTTTTATGCATATTAACAACTCCAGTCCCTCTGTGTGCGAGTGGGCTTTGTTTTCTTTTAACGCATGACTACGCAATCATAAAAGCATAACCAACAACGAAAATGCTCAAAGTTTCCGCTGTGTTTGCTGTTGTGGTTGGCATTGCCGGTCCCAAACAGAGGAGGAAAAAAGAGAGAGAGAAACGGAATAAAATAAAAAGTTTCACTTTCTTCGAGAGCAATGCGGCTGGCCGGGATTGACTCGTTGGATTTGGCCCAAGCCCAAAACTAAAACTAAAACCAAAACCGAACCAAACCAAACCGAAAGCGAATCGGCAGCCCAAAAAGTCGGCTTGCCAAATTGGGAGGCGAAGTTCGCGGCCTTTTCCGGTGGCGTCCAATCAGTGAAATTTTGCGATTAATTAACAATTTCGCCATGAATATGCATTGCTTGGGTCTGGGAAAAGAAATGAAGAGCTTGCAGCGATTTAAGGCAAGTTTGTTGCCTGAGTCTTTTGTTTGCATTAGCTTGCAACCTCGCGTCAGGTTTGTCGCCTCAGTCTTTTGTTTTGGTGGGGAAATTTTCACCACTCGCCAGCTGGTCGCCTGGCAATTAGCAGATACAGCAGCGGCAAAGCCAAATTTGGTTAAGTGTAACATCAACTTCATTTCCAGAGCCAATTGAATTTATAAATAATTCATTCTAGCCACTCGCCAAGAGAGTTGCAGATGGACGGACGGCGGGCAACATTGTATTTGGGAAATGAAGACATAGACTGGAACGTCTCCTCGTGCTCCCCCGCCCCCGGCAGACTGGGTTTTCGTAGAAAGTCGCTGACACATTAAAGTGTTGCAATACGTTTCTCTGGCGACAGCTCGGCATCGTCTGCGATTGACAAATGTCTTCCTCGATGCGAGTTGACTTAATGCCCATTTGCACTGCACCACAGCATCGGCACTGCACCGCCGCATCTAGCGGTGCCAAGTACGGTCTGCAAGAAGTAGCCAAAGGTGGTCGACAAACACCTTGTATTTATTTTTGGAATACTCAGAAAAAAAGCTCAATATTAACTTAATAGCTTTTAACTGGTCCAATAGATTTTGATTTCTATTTCAATTCTACTTTTGTTCATGTAAGATGGCCTTATAGGCTTAAAAGAACCAGGTTCAACTCCAATCGCTTCCCAAATAATTTTATTTGTATTTCCTTGCTCAATATCTTCCTATAATATGTAACACTCCCTAAACTGATCAAAAAAGTATATCTAAAATCAATAAAATAATCATTTCCACCTATATTAATTTGTATTTCTGTGTAAATTAACGAATTTTTTTATTTTACTTTAATTTCTATGATATGGTGTGTACACAGTCTAAAAAAGATTAAAATTGGGACTAATCAAGAACAATAGGGCCCTATAAAGATTATAAAATCATCTTAGATTTTGAAACTTTTTCACCGACACATAATTATATTAGGGTGTTAGGAATTACGATAGTTTAGATAATTATTTAAGACTGGCTTAAAAAGAGCCATTCTGCCACCACTGACTGTTGCAGTTGCAAGCTCTCACGGCTGATTGGACATATTGATTTGTTTCGCCGATTTGGGACGCTGACAGCAGCATTTGCTCCAATTTCCCCGTGGCTCCTGCGCTTCCAAGAAATATGACAATGTTAATGAATGGGATTTGGCTTAATTGTCTCGCTGCACATGACAATCGACACTAATGCCAGCCGCCTTATTTATCTTTTTGCCGAACAAAGCGAAAGTAATTCTGCTTTCCATTTCAGGCGTCTTCTCTTGCGGTTGACCTGATTTGATTTTCAACACAAATTAGTTCGCAGAGAGCCATTTGTTTCGCACCCAAGTTGCGGTCTCATCCTCGGATTTCAGACCTCAGATCACTTTCTTCTCGTAATTGCCATGGTCTCGGGGCTGTGAAGCACTTGATTGAAGTACTTTTCAAAATCGGAGAAAAGGGAGTTAGTGCTAGAAGGAATTCCACCTTGTCATTGATATTTTAATTTGATTAGAGTTCATGATGTATGAGAACTGAGAAAACTTTCTTGGCTGCATTGCGTTCTCATGGAATGGTTTAAATTATGTATCTTATACAAATGTGGATTTTACAGATAAATAAAACCTTGAAAAAATAAATTTACTAAATTTAAAAGTCTTAAACACAAACAATATTATTTAAAATGTATCAGAATCGTTTTTGCTAGCATTTATAGTTTGTGTAAAACTATATATCTTTTCAAAAATGAAAATGTATATTAATTTTAAATTAATTTTAGTTTTTTGTTGATTTTTTAAGGAGAAATGTTACAATCCGAAATTGTCTGTATAATATTACGAATTGCTTAAGCGTTGACCTTGATTGCATATGCTAATCGGGCTGGAATTTTCCTAAAAACCACAGAAATGGGAGATGGACAGATCAGTGGTCAATATTACCTAACCGCATGGCCAATCGTGTTGCGCTCCCATTTTGGACACACATCCGCCAAGGGAGCCGATGCCGATCACTTTCTTTTCTTTTCGTGAATCACCCGCGATCGATATGAGTGCGCCACATGTGATTGTGGCTTTAAGCTTGGCAGATAGCCGAAAACCGAAAACCGAAAACCAAAAACCGAGTGCATATCAATTTTTGGCCAACCGGTTCTCCGAAGAAAGAGCCAAGATACGGGGTCCGAGAGACCCTATTAGGACCGAACTGAAGCAAGTCCCGGCTAACTGGCGGCAATTGTGCAACCGAAAAGGAAAGTTGAAAGGGCCCCTGGACGAGAGGGGCGGGGCGGGAAATGCCATCGCTTTTCCAGCGCGCCGCAATTTACTTTTACTTGGGTAACCCATTTCGCTTTTGATTGCTCTTTGCATTTCACTTTGCCGGCTGCCAGTGGCAAGTGGCCACTGGTCGGTGGCCAGCTGCCGGTTGCCGGTGAGCCACTCGGGTGGTGCGGGGGGCAGGGTGGTGCACGGTGGTGTGGCCCGGTCGGCGGCTAGTCTGGCGTGCTGGTATCCATGCACAGGGAAAAATCCAATGTTCAGAACAGCACTTGCAACATATTTTTAATCTGATCATTTAGCAACTCATATACCGTGTACCAAAATATTATTCCCTTAACATTATTTGGGTTGTTTCTGTATTTAGTGAGCAGCATTTTTTCATTTTTAAACATATATGTAGTTTGTATTGAGGAAAAATAGAAAATTAAAGTTTTAACCTTTTTTCAAGTTTACATATTAGCTTATAACCTGAACGCTATGGTATGTAAATACAGAATTAAAGTCAAATTGGATTTTGGCATTGGATTTTATAAAATTAGCCATTCGAAATTTAACTTCTGTAGGATTCAATTTTTCAAATCTCAAACTGTGTTTAAATTAACATTGAAAATACAGCAAATAGTCTTGATATGAAAATGTTATAAATTAGTTGTCTCCTTAACCCAAATATTTTTTTTGTACTTCGTGATATGCATGGCTTTCTTCAAACAATACATTTAGTTTGACTGTGAAACAATTATAAGCTTAGACTTTTTATATAATTGACCTTTTAGCTCATAAAGCTATAGCTATTGTATGTTAAAAAGCCATAGACATTTCTTCATAAAATCCAATTTAAATACAAATCAAACTATACCATTATATGCAAAATTAACCAACTTTGTAGCATTCAATTTTTAAACAATTTTTTCCCAAGCCGAGTTCAAATTCAATAAATTCTTTATAAGTAAATGGAGTTTTTTTTTAAGTAGAAAACACCAAAATCATTGTCTCAGTGTAATGGTGGCTGCAATCTCGGCCATTCTCTCTGACTGCAAAGTCTGGAGGTGGCATGCAAATGCACATCGATCATCTTTATGACTTGTGATTGTCCAGTTGGCTTTGCGTGAAAGTAAAATTTGATTTTCTACCGGCTGCAGCACAGTCTCTGGCAATTCGTTTTGGCCGAGTGAGAGCCGCCCGGCCTTTTCAGTCCTCCCAGGTGCATTGAGCCCACTTGACTCCAACTCCGAAATGGAGTTTCAGCGTCACGCCATTTGCTTATCAGCGAGCGCCTGTCGTTTCAATTAAGATTTCCTCTGCTCAGCTGGGGCTGCTGAGGCTTTCCATTAGTCGGAGAGGTCATTTGCCCAGTCCATCCAGCTGGGAGGAAAAGCCTTTCCAACAGCAGGAAATGCCGGATAATAAAGTTCACACCCAAATCATGAATTATGAATCCACCGACAATTAAAACTCAGAGTTTGAAAGAAGTGAAATCCAAAGTTGTTAAAATAAAAAAAACAATTATTTAGCAGCAAATTGCTTCACTGTTTTGTAATTTGGGGTGGACTTTATAATTGTTTTCTGTTGATTAATAACTTAACAAAAACAACATTACTTCCTAAAAAAAAATCAAAAACACAGCTAATTGCATTGGGATATTTAAAAAAAGAAACGTTTTTCTACAGGAAAATGCAAATCAAAGATTATATTTAGTACTTTGTTTAACTGTGATTTATGTAGACTAAGAGTAGAGTATTTTAAAGGAAACTTTACCCCCAATATTTGAACCTTAAAGCTCAACGTGACCTTTAAATTTTTGATAACATGTATTAGATTATCTTAAAGCACAAAATTTAATTCCTTTTATAATAAACGTTTGCTATTCGTAGAAACTTGTCCACAAAATGTAGTATTTATCACCGATCCAATAAAAATATCTCAAAGTTGTAGCTATTTTCATATAAAGAACTTATTGTAAAATAATTATAGTTAAGCGTATGTTTTCGTGTTTTCAATATGATTAGGTTTCTTTGAAATAATATTAGCTAAATTCAAATCTTATATTGGGTTTTAATCTTTGCAGAGCGATGTCCTTTGGCGCTTGCTGCTGATCCTGGTGGTGGCTCTGCCCCTAGCTAGTGCCGGATTCGGCTTTGATTCGGCCAACTCCTGCAGTCCCAACGGCAAGCTGTCGCGACGTGGTCGTGCCCAGATGCTGGCTGCGATCCCCTGCGACCTGGGACAGCAGGCCTTCTGCCATTTGCCCGGATCCGCGTATCCGTGGCACGCCGTCCGAAGATTTGTGCACGAGAACCAGGGCCTGATGAAGCGCATGTACGGCGATGTGAGGCACATCTCCATTCTGCGGGACGAGATCCAGAACAACGAGGTGGATGCGGACGACATTGAAGAGGCGGCGGAACGGTACAGCAAGGATGGAGGTCGGCGCAGTGCCAAGTATCTGATGAACCGGGATCGGGATGAGTTCGGAAGCTTCAAGAACAACGATGTGCTCATGGAGCCCCACTTTCGACCGGTTTCCACGAGTACAACGAGTACGACCAAGGCGACGACGACCACAGCTACTCCCACAGAAGTGAGTAGCACCACGGATAGAACTCCCAGTGAAGTGGTTAGCACTACAACACCTGGAAATGCCACCAATTCAAGTACAACAGGCAAGCCCACTGCCGTTCCACCTACTCCCGAACAACCCGAAGTTGAGGCGGACATTGTGGAGATCCAACCCAGTCCAGAGTCGAACAGCGTCTACGAAGTGGTGCCCTCTGCCGCTCCATCGACCACTTCCACTGCGAAACCTTCGCCGGCAGTTGGTGAAAATATACAGATCATCGACTCGCCGCAGCTGGGATTGCGTAACCTCAGCGGAGAGGCGAAGCCAACCCAGGAGCCACCCACTGCCACCACTTTGAGGCCCACTTCTCTGCCCAAGAGCTCGGCGGTTTCAGCCAGCAGGAGAAGGAAGCCCGTGGAGACAACCACGACACCAGCCAGTCCAAAAACCTCCAGCACCGTGCCGCCTCCAACCACCACCACGTCCACCTTGCTGATCCGACGCAACGTAACCAAGTACTCACCCGCATCCGTGACCACGCCCGTGAGCTTCGCCTCGCTCTTCTCCGGCACTTCCAGTGGGCTCTTCAGTCCGGAGAAGCTGCGCAGGCCATTGACCACCAGCAGTACGAGTGCTCCAGTTCCAGCTCCAGCTCCTGCCGCAGGTGGACCCCCAGCAGGAGCCACCGGTAGTGCCACCAAGTCGGGACTGCTGAGGGAGGGGCAGCTGTTCCAGGATGCCATGAAGCAGGAGCCCGTGGCGGTGGCCAACAACTTGCGGGGAGTGTAAGTGTACAGCCCAACGAGTTGGTATACCATTAAATAATAAATGAACAACTTGTTTCGCTTCCAGAAATGCCTGTCCCGTCAAGGACGAAGTGGTGGCCCCCTTCTGGGCGAACAACACCCGGGGCGAGGTCTTGGCCCTGCTCAACCTCTACCCCTTCGAGCAGTACGTCCACTGGGAGAAGTGCACCCACGAGTTCAAGCAGATGTTCTGCCGGGATGGATGCAGGTGCGAACAGCAGTACCGCCTGCACCGGCTGCTGGCCTACGATCCGCACAACGAGTGCCGCGGCATCTTCTCCGACTGGTTCCGCTTCCCGTCCAGCTGCATCTGCAAGTGCTACAACATCCCGATGGAGTTCCGGGCCACCTCGCGCAGTCCCCGCTCCGACAGCCGCTTCGATGCCCCGAAATCCGATCCCATCGAGGCGGCGGAGGCGGAAGTCCAGAGAGCCATCTACGAACACGCCACGGATGAGTGGTACCGCCCACGCGATGAGTTCGACTTCCTGGAGGGGTAATCCACACGCATCCCCTCCGGCGATCAATTGTACAGTAGCTATAGATTTGATAGAAATAAGCTGCACATCCCATCTTCAATCTGAGTCACAGTTTCGTCTGTCTTCTAGTCTATAACTAAACTCCTTTCAAAAAACATACAACCCCTATATCTGTTTCCGATCACTTTGGGAGGATTTTGAATTGATAAAGTTCCATCAGCTACGACAAGGGACTATAAATTGGTCAGTTCCCAATCCACCTTCCTTTGATCAGAGTTGGCATAACCATTAACCTTAAGTTTACTTTAAAAAGCGGCATTATGTTAATGTAAATATAGGCCAACATAATGCCGAATTTAGGCAACAACTTGCAGAGCGAATGTACCTTGAAATACTTGCGAACGGATCGCAGCCATTGAGCTGCGTACGATGGTATTTACTAGTTAATTTATTTATTAACTTAATTTATTTATTCATATATTAGCCATAAGTATAACCATAAAAGTGGCCATAGCATTAACCCCAAATCTTTTTATAGATCCCAGATTAAAGTGTAGGCGTTTTTGAAAAATATTTATTGCAAAAATGTATGCGATCATATATTAATGTAGTCTGTATATTTAGAATGCTTACGTATGTATAAAATAGATTTTATTGTATTTAATACGTTGATATATTACTGTTTACTCTTTAGTGCATACAAGGGTACGCTGATAAATTAGATTTATAAATTGTATTTATGTAAGGGAAAGGGTTTCCTTTCTTAGCAATTTAAAGGCGTTTCAGGCACTTCATTTCAGTTTAACCGTTTACCATTTAAGGCTAGTGATAGCTTTTTTTGTCAATCACTCAATTAAATAAAACTTCTAGTGTTGCTTAACTAGCCGAGTTTTTATTTTCAGGGTCGGCCAAAGGCACTTGCCAAAATAAGTAAAGTTGTAAGTAAAGCTCGAATTAGAAGCAGTTCTCAAAGAAAATTGGATTAATTGAAACTATTTAATATACACAGTTGAACAGTTCAAGGGTTTAAAGTCAAACTCCCTATTGCCACCGAGTTTATCGAATCGTTTATGTAAATAAAATAAAGTCAATGTGTTTACTTACAAATACATAATAATAAATTGCATTCAAACAGACTTTCGGCTTAGAATGTCGCCCAAGGAGGAAATCTAGTTCCGAACGGGATATATAAATAAGATATATAACTTGTGGAAGCATTCCCCTTTCTTGTGATCAACGTAAGCTTGACAGACGATCCGCGAGCAGAGACTACATCTACAGACATAAATTAGGTGACAGAGACAAGAAACAGGTAGAAATACCGCGCCCTAAATGCAAACTACTTAGTTGCAAGTCGACGCCCATTGAATACTCTGCGTTAAACAAAACGAATACGAACTCGATACTATTGATGCGCGTTGAAAAAATACTAGGCGTGAGTGTCGCGTTGTGTGCTAATAACTAAAACTAGGAAGATCCCAGGACGCGGTTGTCCTGGTGATCCGATCGCATCAGGCACTCGACACGGGCACCCAAAGCAGCTTGTCCTGCTCCTTGTCGACGGCGTCCTTGATTTGGGTGCACATGTGCTTGATGCTAACGCCGGGGATGACGGCTAAAAGGGGAGAAGAATATTAATGATGCAATTTTTGATTCGAGTGCTTAAACTTGCAGTCTGGACCAAGTAGAAAACTCACCTGATATGTACTGCTTATAGTCGGTCTCCAGCTTCATGGCCCGCTCGTACATCTCCTTGGCCGCCTTGGCCGAGATTTTGTCGGTGCCAAAGTCGCGAATGTCGCGAATCTGCTTTGCGGACTTAAAGCGCAGCAGTAGCACAATAGGGTAGATTTGTAGGCGCTGCAGACGCTCCACTGCGGAGATGGAAACGTCCAGAATGCAGTGACGTCGATCCTGGGAGGAAAACTTAATGCTTACATAAGCTCTCCGGGTAGTAATGTAGCTGCTACTCACGTTCTTGCAGGCATTGCTGATGGCCTCCACTGTAGTGCACTCGAACTTGTTGCCCCGTCGCCGGTAGTCCACAAATATGTTCTCCTTCAAACCCTCCTCCATAGCCTCCTGCGAGCAGTCCATGGCAGTCACCTCGCACAGCTTGAAGAGGTTGGAAAAGTCAATGGTGAGGCGGTCCATGAGACACTCGGACAGAGGCCCAATGATCAGTACAGGCCGACGAATGGGCGCTAGAAAGGAACAAGGTTTAACTGATTTGTTTCTTTATCAAGAAATCCAAACTTACAATCTAAAAGCTCCACACGCTGGTAGCTAAGGGCTCCGCCATCATCGTTGAGCAGGCCTAAGTCTGGAAAGAAGCTAAGCTGCGTATTGCTGAAGCTGGCAATCTCCGTGGAGTCGCGGGACGAGCTACGCTGGTTCTTCTTGCGACGAAAAAACGATCTCCTGGCAGAAGTGCTGCCGCGTCTGGCGGTTCCAGTATCACAGTCCACCACTTCTCCCGAACGTAGTTCCTCTTCCACCCTGCGGGGAAGAAAAAACAAAGTGTTATTATTCGGAAATTGTTTAAAATCAATACAAACAATATTAATGCTAAATTTTTGTTAGGTACCATTTCTCAATGTCATGTTAAGGTTTATCCTTAAGTTAATTTTACGTCTCGGAAACATTGACCTTGACTGACTATTAACTATCCCTGATTTAGTTATTTCTTTATGCATTAGGATTGCAAATATGTGTTACCGAGTCATTTAACTTTTGTTAACTTTTTCTGACACATTAAAAACTAGAACTTTAACATGTCTTTAGGGAAGCGGACCTTTTTTTTTGTAAACGTCTAAATTGATAGCCGAAAATAAGTAAGATTAATTTACGATAAGTTTAAAATTCAATTGCTCTCATAGTTGTGAATCATTAATGTCGTGTTCGCTGTAAATATTAATTGCTCTCTCAACTCAACTAACCAAGAAAAACGTATGACTAGTATTAAATGATTTAGTATTAATGGCTACTTACTTCATTTGACTGGGTATGATGCCGCATTCCTTCCGATGGCCCATGGCATCCAGCTTCCAGGCTCGCCACAAGCCAAAGGTGCCGTTAAAAACCGTGTTGTCCACGTAGAGCACCTCGTCCTTTACAAAACGCAAGTCGTCCTCGTTCAACTCACCAATACGATCAAACCCCACTCGAATGTAAAAGGAGTCCCCAGGCTCATCTTTAATTTGTTTCAGAGCTGCATTAAAGTGAGGCGGCAGATTATTACAATTTAAATCAAAATAAAATATATTCGCAACTTACTGTGCAGCTTATTTTGCACCAGCATAGTGACCGTATCCGTGAGCTTGGAGATCTCATTGGCCGCCTGTTCGGCAGTGACTCCGCTTAAGTCGACACCGTTGTACTCCAGTATCTGGTCGCCCTTGCGTATTCCTGCATGATCCGAGGGCGATCCGGGCGCCACGTCATGCACGTAGATGCCCACTTTGTTGCCCCCGAACAGCTTAATGCCTAGGTTCTTGGACTTGTCCATGTGCAAGGTCACATACCTCAGAGCTGGAATAAATAGTTTAAATCAGGTCAAATGGAAATTATCTTGAATGGAAGACTTTGTTAGTAGGGATGAATGTTCTATACGGAGTATCTAAAACTATTTGTACTGGATAGGAAAATGCAATAAGTACCGGTTTTTGTTTAACGCTTTGTTCCTTAAAAATGGTAGCCTTTTCAATTATAGGATACTCTTCTTCACCAAAAAAAAAAAATAATTTTCATAAAAAGCCCTGTTGCAAAGTAAAATTCGCCAATGAACTTAAAATATAAATCCTGTAAGCCTTAGTCTTCTCTGCTATGAGCCAGAGAATAAGTACCTTATACAGCCGGAAACGCTTCCTGCTGCATGGTTAGCTTCTCCGACGAGGGGAAGAAATGTGGGAGCATGCTACTACCCCGGGAGTGTGGTTAGTAGTGGGTGGAGTGTTGTGGCTACGTACTCTCTGCCGGAACGGATGCTGGCGGCGGCGGCAAGGCGGGCTTGGGCTCCTCATCGTAGACCGTCGACGTGGCCGAGGCTGTCGTCGTGGTGGTGGTGGCCGCCGACGAGGGCATGTCCTGGCTGCTGCTGATGTCCGACTGGTTCTCCAGGCTGTCGGTGAAGCTCTGGTCCTTGATGGACTGGTGCGAGAGCGGGGCCCTCGAGCCGGATCGTGTTGAAGGGGCCTGCGGCTGCAAAGGCAGTGGGAAGAGCGAGTTGCGAGCTGGAGGACGCGGGGAGTTGCGTGGAGTTGGGGAGCCCGAATGGTTGACGGGAGATTCTGGTTCCAGATTGTGCGCTCCGTCATACTCCATTGAAGGGAACTCTGCAACAAGAATTACGATTAGTTACCATTTTGTGTATAATGTAATCTAGGCATAAATCCACTTACTCTCCGGATTATACTGCACCAGCATGGTGAAGGAGTCGCCGCACTGCCGCAGCACGTTGGCCGCAATCTCCTGCGTGGCCGCCCGCATGTTGATGCCACATACTTCCAAGAGTTGATCGCCCACTTGGAGACCGGCACGCATCGCTGTGCTCTTGTCGGCGACGGTGGAAACAAAGATTCCACCGCCGTTGTTGTTGCACTGAATGGTAATACCGAGCGACTTGTCGCGCTTGTCGATGGTGACTCTTCTAAGGTCTCCAGGGCAGAGAAAATCCGCGGGCACATTGGAGTTGCGTTTGCCACTTCCGCCACCTCCGTGGCTGAGGACTTCCACATGGACCTGCGGCATGGGCGATCCGCGTCCACTACCTCCTCCTCCTCCGCCTCCTCCCACTCCTACTCCAGATCCAGTTCCATTTCCTCCTGCCATGTTGGCACCGTAGCTATTGTGAATGCTGGAGCTCATGAGGGAAATTGGTGCACGATCCGAGGACGAGGCTGACATGGATCCACCGGAAGCTGGCGCCGTACTCATCATGTAGTGATGGTCAATGCTGCCGGAGCTGTTCTTCACCATGCTGCTGCTCTTGCTGGCCACACTGGGATTGGATGGGATCCTCAACCGCTGGTTGTCCTTCTTACGCGGAAAGGTTCCGCCTTCGTAGATGACACCGCCCACCCCCGGGACTCCTCCTCCGGCCACTCCCATGTAGGGATACGGCCCGTGACCGTAGTCCACGTAGGGAGCATGCGGGTGGGGATGAGAATGTGGCAGCGGGTTCGTCTGCGCATGATGGTGCTGATGGTAATCCAGGTCAGTGGGTATTCCAACGCTGTCGTGGGGTGCCACTGCCGCCGGCAGTTGTTGCAACTGCTGTTGAGGCGGTGGTGAGGGCAGGGTCAATGGACTGGACCTACGGTTGCTCCTGACCCCGGGCCCAAAAGTGGGGAAGAGCTGCGTGTGCCGGTTTCCCGGATGGTGGTTGGACTGCAGGAAGCCGCTATAGCCCCCGTGAATGCCAGAGCCAATGCTCTCACTGTCGCTCGGGTATTTGGGCACATGCCTCACCGCCTGCGGCACATGGCGCTTGGCATACACCCCGTACTCGCTGATGGCCGGACTCTTGGCGGACAGTATGGACTCTATGGAGTTCTGCGACTTCAGGGACACCACGTCCGGCGGTTGGCCCACGGGCAGCAGGTGACTACCCCGCGGCGGGTTAAGAGGCATGAACACGGCATTAGGATTGGATCCGGAGCTGTTTTTGGGCAGTGGCGGCGGGTGGAAGACGTCGAATACCTGCTGTTTGCGCACTGGAAACTCGCCGGCCGCCGGACCCGTCACGCCACCCATCGATCCCGATCCCATGGCAAAGCCCGCCGAAGCCGACGAGGCATTCATCACCTGCTGCTGGGCCTGCTGACCACTGGTTTTGGGCTGGTAAAAATCCCCGCTGGGTGTGATGTTCAGCGACAAGCGGTGGTTACTGTGCGGTCTGGATCCGTAGCGCTCCTGCGAGGGCATTTTCACCCTAGCATTGGCGCCCATCAGTGGGGCTCGCTGCATCGGCTTTTGGTTGGTCTCCTCGGGAGTCACGACTCCGCCGTAGAGCGAGTACCTCGGGTGGGTGGGATAGCCGGCCATGGGCACTCCTCCCGATGAAGCGGCGGGAAACAGTGCCGAGACTCCTGAGCTCACCGGATTGGAGTTGCGGTTCGGATGCGCCTTGATGGCACTCCCGTTGGCTCCCCGGATGTGGGCCAGGGGCTTTGACATCTGAGGGGGCAGCGGCGGAGGTAGCTGCTCCTGCATCAACACTGGCGGCTGCTTCTCCGGCACTCCAACCTCGCCCACCAGCTCATCGTCCTTGTCCACGTTGATGGGACCGGCTGTAAAGAGCGACATCAGGGCGTGCTTCTTCTCGTTGCCCCGCATGGTGCCCGTTGGATTGTCGTGCGAGATGTTGGTGCGCGGCCAGGTGCCCATGCTCTTGGAGGCCTCCTTCTCCTTCTTGGTGCGCTTTTTGCGGTTAAACAGATTCTCCTTGCTCTTCTCAGAGCTGTTCTCACTCAGCACCGAGTCGAGGGCCGCGATGGCGTCGTCGTGCTCCTGCTCCAAATTTTCCTCCGGTGTGCCCGGCTTGCTGAACTTTAGCTTTCTGAAGAAGAACTCAGCGAACTTGGACGGATGTTTTGTGGCGCCAATGGCTCCACTTCCTCCACCTCCGCCGCCACTCGTCACGTGCTGCATGGAGTCGATGGAGTCCGTTTGCGCCGACGAGGTAGTCATGCCCGGTGGCAGCTGATCTTGCACGTACTTCAGGGCAAACAGGTTGAGACCATCGCTTCGCGGATCATTGAGGAGCTGCATCACCTCCTCGATGGACTGCACCGAGTCCATCGACTTGTTGTTAATGCTCAGCACTCGGTCGCCCACGTCCAGCTCCGGTTCGTAGAAGGCCAGCGAGTTCTGCTCGATCTTTGCGATGAATACGCCCATGTCCAGCTGCAGGCCATGCGGGCAGTCCCGATCCCTGGTCTTCAGTTGAACCGAATATGCATGCCGCTTGCTGTGACGCGTGCGGGAAACCAGGAGCAGGGATCGCGGTGCACAGGCGCGAATCTCGTCGAGAACCATGCGCTTGGTCAGGGACTGGCAGTCCAGGTTGTTCACCTTGCAGATCACATCGTTGATCTTTAGCTTGCCACAAGCGGGTGAACTGCTGGTCACGCCGCACACCAGCTTCCGCTTGTTGCTGTCATCCAGGATAATGCCCAGATCGGAGGTGTGCTCGTAGCCGCACAGCTCTACTTCCAGGAGATCCTCACCCTCGTAGCTGCTCAGGCGGAAACTACGTCGGGATCCGGAGGCATTACTATCTAGATTGTGGCGCTCCTGCTGCTCCATTTGCTCCTTCAGCAGGTCAATCTTCTTCTGGGCCTCATCCTTCTGCTTCTTGATCTTTTCGCTGTCGCGGATGGCCATCAGCGAGTCGGAGATGGCCTTGTCTCGCTCGTGGCGCATCTTGTCGCAGAGCGTCTTTACCGAGTCCCGCTCCTGTACGATTTTTTCGCGCTGCGATATGGCCCAATCCCGGACGCGTTTCGCCTCCTCTGCGTCCTGGCTGGAGCGCTCCACCTCGGAGAGGGCTTTCTCCAGGCTCTTGCGCAGCTTTTCCAACTCTTTGCTGTTCTCCAGCTCTTTTCCGCTGGGGAATTCCTTTGACCACGAGCTCTCTCGCGATTTTAGCAGGTCGCGCTTCTTCAGCTCAGCGTTGGCCAACTGTAGAGCCTTTATCTCGCCCCTGGACAGCTGCTCATCCTTTTTTAATCGCTCGATCTCCTTGTTGGCCAAAACCAGATCATCGGACATCTTCTGGTGCTCCTGCAGCACGTTATCCTTCTCGGAGAGTAGCTGATTGAGCTCCTCGGTGAGGGAGACCACGTTCTTGGTCTCCTTGGAGAGCAGGAGCTTCAGAGTCTGGTTCTCATCGCCCCGCTCCCGGTAGTAGTTGCGATCCTTCTCCAGCTCGATGTATGACTTCTTGTACTTCTCCCGCTCCACTGCGGCCATGTTGCGCTCTTTCTTAAGCTCGGCCAGCTTCTCGCTGCAGCTGCCATCGCAGCCCTGGGACTTCCCAAAGTAATAAGGATTCCCACCGGCCCCGGGTGGACCCTGGGTGTTCCCATTCTGGGCCTGCTGACTCTGCTGGTTTTGGGTCTCCAGCAGCAAGCGCTTGAGCCGGGCGCTCTCCTCCACTATGTCCGTGAACTTGTTGCGATCGGCCACGTAGTGCTCCTGATAGAGACTTAGCTCGGTGGCCAGTTCATCGCAGCGCCGTTTCGTACTGGCGTGCTGGTGGCGCAATGTGTTGAGCTCCACGAGCGCGGACTTGTACTGCGCCTGCAGCAGATCGTACTTTGTGCCGTTTCCGCCGGAAACCCCCGACACGCCCACTCCGCTGTTGACGCCCTTCGAGGGGCCGTTGTTGTTGGCAATATTGGCGGCCGTGGTACTGCCACTGGAGTTGGACGGCGGACGGAGGGTGTTATCATAGCCCACATACTCCGAGCTCTCCTCTGAAATGGCAGGTAAAGTTATGGTAGATGTACTTTGGTCAATGAACTTTAGACTCACCCTCCTGACTGCTCGTGCTGGTCAGCGAGAGATCTCCCGATGCCATCTTCGCCATCACAGCATCTTTAGGTAATACTCAACATGAAGATTATGCTGGAGGAAGTAAAATAAAGTATACCAAATCAATATGATTTATTTTAGTTGTCAATTAGTCTAGTTTTCCCTGTTAAATAAATAAAACCAATTTACTTACTCCTACCTAACCGACAACTATTTATGATTCGAACAAGATAACAACTTAGATTTATTGGGTGCCAATTGAAGTTATAATCGAGAAGTTAAGAATTGTATCAATTTGGTATGGTGAAATTGTAAATAATATTTAACATCTAAGACCAATCGTAACTTTTACCTGTTGATCATGGTGATAGTGCAAACGTGACCGTAACATGAACTCTAATCCCACTATGATTATTGTTAAAAAACCAACAGCAATGACTGCATTAATTATCTTTGTCTAAACAGATACAGATGTGTTCAAAATTTTAAGACAAAATTAAAATATTTTTTTATGTTGAAACATTTATATCACCTATTTTAAATAAAAAATATCATTATGATAACATTAAAATTTATAAGTACTAAACTAATTTTGTACTATCAGAATTTAATTTGATCTTTAAGATAAAATATTTCTTTATTTATGAACTAATTTAGGTGATATATGAAATTAAATAGTTTTTGTCCCTTGAACCATTCTTTTTTAAATAATATTAATTATTGAAACCATAACCAATTCTTTAAACTAATATCATGTGGTTGTATATGATCGGCGCCAAAGATTATATAATAAATATTTATGAACAATATATTTGTATAACATTTTCGACCATGAGCTTTTCTTTATTTATCTTTTTCAGGATAAATTACTGACATGACAAAAACATTATAATGTTTTTATTCATTGCCTTGGCTATATTTTTGTTTGCTTTTTTGAAAGCTTATTATTTTTTTGGCCACTGCTGTTTATACATAGCTAAGGTATAGGAGTAAGTAGAAAAACCGAAGCATTGGAAAAACGAAACTTTCACAATTTTTGTGAAACCGCGGTTTTCACAATTGAACGAATGTAATTTAAATACAACCGCAGAGTGGGGTGGAAAGTGGGTGGGCAGAGAGGCAGGTACTGGGTTTTTGGCTTTTCGAGTGGTTAATGTTTGCGAAAACGAAATGTGTGGCAATTAAGCACTCGAGTTAGAGCATCGGGACTAAGCCAAAGAATTAATTGAAGCAGCCGAGCAGAAAGCGTAAATTAATAGCAACATGTATGCACACACGCACACCATTCACCGACACACACACACTGACACACACAGGCGTGCGGGCAAAACAAGTTGGCCGAATGAAAGAAAGAGAAGAAAAGCTGGCAAACGCACAAAGGTGGAAAGCAAAGCGAATTATATAAACGCTTTTCGGACTGGAGTTTCGTTTTGCAGACACTTATCTTGGCCAACAAACACGCTTATTGGGCCAAAAACATTGCGTATTCTTATATTCCCTCGGTCGAAAGTCTTTCACGCACACACACACAGGCACGCAAACGCAACAGCTGAATGGGCGAGCGACAGAGAGGGGGCGAGCTCCACCCCAATTCCAGCCCCGCGGGAAAGAGAGGGGCAGATGCAACAGGCGGACGAAAAACGGGATAGCCGACTTTTACCGTTTTCGTTCGCGCAACAACAACAGCGCATCCGTGGATTCCGGAAGTTCCTTTAAAAAACGCGGCGGAACTACAACTCCACGGCACACGGCCAGTTTTGCAAGGACAAACAGTCCAAAACGATGACGAATGGTCAACGAAAAAACGCCACCGATAAACGAACGAAAAACAAAAAAAAAAAACAGCACAACTTCACGTCACTTTTCCACTAGAGCTGTCACAACATCGATGCCATTATCGATACTATCGATTTTTGGGCAATGGCCAGCACCATCGATTGTTTTAAGGCTACGATAATACGGAAAACAATTAGGGTATTCCCTAGTTCGTTTAATTGATGAATCGTTAAATTTTGATCAGCTGTTTGCCAGATGCAATAATAATTACGCAAAACTTTTTTCGGTTTTTACCTCTATTGCTAAAAGTTTTCATTCAATTGCAAAATGTTATTCATTCAATTGAACTCTAAAAATATGAGTGTATTGTGAAATTTTTAGGGTATATTTTACGAATTATTAAATAGTGCTTGTTAATGCAAAAGTATCAATGTGCCAATAAATTTTCAAAACTTGTTTTTTATGTTTTGACACCTCTAGTGCGGAGTGTGACCGCGACTGAAACACTGAAATAAACCACCAAGCCCGCCAAAAAGCACTAAATTATACCATAAAAGCAGCAAAAGCCTCTGGCTTAACCAAGTTTTCCACCAAATTTTGAGAAACTTTTAACGAAAAATGTTCAAATTTAATTAATTTTTTTTATTTTACTATAACTCTATATTCCTATTATTCAATACTCGGCTTAGTGTAACGTTAAATGTTGAGCATATTCATGAAGCTTTAGTGACTTCTCTTAGCCAAATTCCCAAAAGCTTAATATATTTTTAGTCCATTTTGATTATGAGAATTTAAAATAAATAAATAAAGATTCAAGAGATAAATTAAACATATATTTTTTCGGGTTATTTTGGGAAAAAAAATAGTTTATTTTGTATTTAAACTTGAATGCTATAAATGCATTCCAAATTTTTGAATATGTTGGAAATTTATATTAGGTACCAAAATGCATACTTTGTAGAAAACAATTTTTTCTTGGGAGTTTTCAATCAAATATGATCATACTACACAATATTTAATTCTACTGTTTTGTTGTTTTGTTGTTTTTAGTTTTACACGTTTTGCATCGTGCTGGTTTTGCACGTGTTACTGCACACTTCGTCGTCTTTTGGTAATGGTCAAGCCAAAACAATCCAAATTGTTAGGTTTTAGTTCCAAAACCTATGATCGCAACGTTACATCGCCAAAAAAAAATGTCCTTCCGCAGACAAGAAAAGTTCCCAAAGTCAGTAAAGATTCGCTTGAAAAGGCCGATTCGCTTTCACTACATTCCTTGAAATCGCAAGCCAGCTTGTCCACTCTAAGCGAAGGTACGGAATCGGAAGATTATGACCCATCTGGACCGGGAAGCGGTTGGAATACCCCCAGCTCTGTTGTTTCTTCTCCGCGGCAAAAACTTAGTAAGACGTCGAGCGTGGCTGGCAAAAAAAGGGTTAGGCACTCACAGATATCGGTTATTTCCGGACCCCAGAAAAAAGTTAGGCACTCACAGATCTCGGTTACTTCCGCATCCCAAAAGAAAAGCGACATAAGACCTAAGCCTTCCATAATATTTAAATTAAAAAAACCGCCATCAAACGAGAAAGATCAGGCAATCAAATTGGCCAGTCCGCCCAATTCTTCTACCAGTAGTTCTACGGAAAGTGAGGATTATGGGGATGCAGAGGAACAACTCCTTGATAACACTAATAAAAGTGAAGACCGGAGGATTGAAGAAAACTCTGAATCTGCATTTTATCTCGACGATGATAACCAGATGAGTCTATCCACTGACTTGAACATCAGAATGCGCTTTGACCTACTCAAGAACCTCATGGAGATACCCTATTTGGAGGAACTTAGTGCAATCACGACCCCGATCGAGGTGAAGGAACTGAGGGAGGAGGACCTTGTGGACCTCGGGATCTTCCGGAATCCTTTGGCTGGCGGCTCCTCCGGCACTATACACCCACTATCCGATCCCGACTACGAAGATATTACCGAGGAGGCTTGGTCTCAAGATGATCCCGACGTGATTAGCCTGGCCATGATCTCGACGTCGGGACTGGAATCCGATAACGACAGCTGTTGGTTGTCGCAAAGGAACCGGGTCAAGCTGAGTATTATACCGACTTTCACTGAAGATCCATTTGGGTCTTTCGAAAATTCCCACGAGAATTCGCTGGTGACTTTTCCCATCCAAAAAGTTGTCCAAAGCTACCTGAACAGCATTATTGATCTAGTCGCGGAGAGGTTTGGAAATGCAGACTATGAGCGGGCAGGAAGTCTGGACAAGAGTAAGCTCTTGGATCGGCTGCTCGAGGAGGTCGACGATAACTACTGGGAGAAGTACGAGAACGACTATCTAATCAAACGTCTCACCGAGTACCACCTGCGCCGCTCCAAGTATTCCCTGATCACGCCGAGCAAAAGTTCCACGGTGAAGGAGTCCACTCGACGGCGGTATTTGAGCACCCTGAACGAGTTGGACCACTGGATGCGACGGGAACGGGAGGCGGAGGAGCTGCACCTGGCGGAGAGGGATCGACTGCTCCAGGAGTTGGAGGAGAAGCAAGCGGAGGACGTGGCGAATGAAGAGCGGCTGGAGCAACTGATCAGAAAAACCATTCTTCGCCGTGCTCACCCATCGGATCGCCTTAAATTCGTAAGACGTTCTACAAAAAAGAATATTTTTTTTAATTCTACATTAAACTCTTCTCATTTTTAATAATTAATAGTCAGTTTGAGAACCTAATTAAATTATTTTAATAGGTAACTGAGGCCACTCTACGACAAATGAGAAAAAAGCGCAATAATTTGTCAGAAACACGTCTTGTTTTGATCATAAAGCAGCACAACAACTCCTACATCGAAATGGTAAGAGTTTCCGATGAAAATACTTTGGAAACTATAAATGTCTATCCATAGAAAATCGATGAAACAGAGACCATTTCTGAAGAACTTAAATTGGATACGTATCTATCCACTGAGACTGATGTTCAGCAGTTAGCTAACACTATACATAGTAAGTACAGTCCTGAAAATCAAAATATATTATTCAAATAAAAATAAATTAAAAGTCAAAGGTATAAAGGTAAATATTCCTTCATACATTTTTTAGGAATAATAATTTAGATTCTTCCTCAAATCTAATCAGATTTATTTCTATTTTAAAGGTAGAAACGAAGAACTCCATCGAATGTGTGCCCTGATTAAGAAAAAAATTCATTCCATTTCACATCTGAAATGTCGGAGAAAGTTGCTGAATCGAAACTTTCTGAATGCCAAAAAAGAGCTGAGAATAAAACAGAAACAACATTTTGCCTTGCGCGATAAAATATTTGCTTGTAATATAATGCGCAACAAAATTCTCGCCAACATCAAAGAACTTCGTTACAAAGGTGGTATTATGTACTATCCAAAGTTGCTGGCTGATTTTGATCAAACGGAGAAATTTATCCTGAAGAAGCGTGATCGTGTCAAGGAACTAAAAGCGCAACACGACAGTCTGCTTAGAAAAATTAACAGAGTTGAGAAAAGCTCAGAGTCAATTAATCGAATATCTTAGTTAAGTGTAAGTGTGAGCATAGTGAACGTGGGTATTTTGTTCAATACAAATACCATTACTAGACGGATATATATCAATAAATCTTAGAAGAATAGCATAAGTTGTTTTTAGCCATATTTTAATCCTTGCGGAGGGTTTTATTGTTGTATTTTGGTTGGAAGCTTGTAACGCGGTGAAGGTGACATTTTTAATCCTAAATATATAGTGATTCGCAATCGTCTTTTTAAAGTGGGTAAAATTTGTTGAATTTTTCTGTTGTTAATTAATATTTGTGTATTTGTGGATGTTTTTGTCTAACATAAGGATTATAAGGATCTAATTTTGATCAAAATTAGAGGTCATATATTTATTTATTCGCTCTAAGTAAATAGCTATCAAGATTGAACTTTAAAAATGGAGTTTCTTAATGTGTATACTGATTATAAAAAATATGCCGATAAATATGTATGCTGACATAAGAAACATTGGGTATTAGTTCATTTTATGTTCATTTCTAAAAACTATGCATATAGATCACACTCGTTATGCAAATATTATGATACCATTAGGGTCCGATCAATTCAGTTTTTTAAATCGCTCATACGTCGATGCAGTATATTCGTGCTGTGCTATGTGATCTCATTAAAATATCTGGAGGATATCTATCTCAAATTTGGTTTTTCTTTTGTTTCTGGTTAAATTACCTATTTTTAGTTCATAGTTAAAGAAAGAGTTGGGAAGGGATTTTTGGTCTTCCAGGAATTGGTTTGAATTGCCAAGCCAGTTTTGTCAAAATTTTCCAAAGAATACACACATTATTTGTCTGAGTCAAAATTTAAGTGAGCTATTGTGGCCCAATGGCTTTCTTCCTCATCCGGCTGGCCATGGTGGCCGGTGCGGTCTATGGGACCATGGAGCTGGGAATTTGGGAAAGTTCCCGGCACACGCAGGAGCTCTTCGAGGGGGCCAAACGGGAGGTGAGCCCCTTCACCAAGGACCTGATGAACAGCTTCTGCTGCTGGCGCTGCGAGAAGTGCGACCAGGATGTGGAGGTCAAGCCCTGGCGGGAGTCCATGGTGGATGCTTGGAACGAGTCGGTGAAGAAGACATTCAACACCCTGGGCGTTCATGTGCCCAAATACTTCAACCGCTTCTCGCAGGATGTGCAGCAGGGCTTCGACGACCTGGTGAACAACAGTGGAGAATGGTAAATACGCGAAATATGGCTTAAAATAACAATACTTTAGTTACTTGTGACCCCGATTTAGATTCAAGGGGGAAGGACTTCAACTACTCCTTTTTTGGGGATAATACAATTTATTGGGAAACAAAAATTATTTGTGCTCTTAATCCATACCAATAAAATATCGGCCTTCGGACACAAAAATAAACTCACTGCATGAGAATATCAGGTATATACATACACTTGTTATAAGTTAATTTATTTTATTTGTCAGAACAATTATAATAACCTGGCAGTTATCCAAAACGTGCCCACATTTATATAATATATATAATTATATTTTTAAAGCCACATTTTTTATATTTTATTGAGAAGGTTACAAACTGATAGAAAATAAGATAAAAACGTACCTGAGTTTTGAAACCCCCACAGCCTAATCCCACGTTTTGTTTTTTTATGGAAATTGTTATTGTTTTCTTTGAAAAGTTTGTAACATGCTGAATAAAGCGTTTGCAAAAGATGAAATTTGTAATGCCGAATAACTTAAAATCTGCCTCGATCACACAAATCAAAGAACTGCAGGCACAAACACAGAAGGGCGGGGATTAGTACGAATTGACCTTGGGGGACACTATGAGGTTTGGTGGCTGTATTGAATTGGTAATCATCCGTGTTGTTATGGCGGTCACCAAACCCGCTAGTTCTGGAGCGGTGGTGGTAGCTCTTCCTCGGCGTGAAAAATGAATTGTGGGACGGCGGACTCTCGTTAATATCAGTGTGATGTCCTTGGGGCGAATAATCCGAATGGGAGTGTGAGTCTGAGTGGGAGTGGGAGGTGGAGTGCTTAGAGCTTCCGCTGCCGAATCCGAAGAAAACATGACTTTTCGACTTCTTTTTTTTGGCATGCACATCATCGGTTATTAGGGCAAACATTAGGAGCACTACCAACATAAGGTTTCCACTGGGCCGTTTCAGGTAAAGAGACATTCTAAAATAGGTTGATTTTATGGATAAGTTTTTCAGACAGAATTATTATATTAATATGCTCTACGAAAAAATCTTATCTTAATCTTATGTCTTTTATAAATTAAAAACGAAATAAGTTTGCATTTTTTCAAAAATTTTTGAATATAACAAACACTTATTTACTTTTATTCCAGTGTATTACGCTTTCTGCTACTGACGCGCGAATTTTGGTGTTCTTTTCTTAAAGTATCCCGAACAACTAAACTAAGGTACGAAGATCGCTCGCGTTTCGGTTTTTGTAGAGCGGTCTGCAAAGAATAACGACACGACCAAAGCAGCAAATAACTCATGCGGTTGGTTAGTACACTGAACCAAAATTATTTTATGGTTCCATATTGTCATCTTAATTTTAAAGTAGAAGTCATTACAATCATTGTTTTTAAAGAGACATTCAACACTGACCTACTGATAATAAAACAAAATATAAGCCAATAAAATGTATTCAAAACTAGTTTACGTTTAGTTTTTTTTATGAACGCTGGAGAGAATGTTTGGAAGTTGATTTAAATTGACAAACAATTTTTCTTACAATAAATTAATTTTCGTATGTCAACTTTCTGAGTTTTTAAAAATTTTTTTTCAATCTTTACCCGATTATACAATGCGCTTTAGTTCTTTTAATGAATACCAGAATGAACATGATGTGTAAAATAAGGCAAATAGTATTAATTAAAAACTTTTATAAAAATATAAAAATAGTCTTAAAATTAATAGTTATGATTTTTTAGAGGGCTTGCATCCGATATTGTGTTTTTTTTATTGAGCAGATGATAAATCATGTGAGCTTGGAAATTACAAGTTTCATATATTTATAGGATATAGTCTGATATAGGAAGTACTCGAATTACCGATTTCCCTCGATTTTCTGGTATGTTTTTTGATATCAACCAATAACACTTCTGAACGAGGTAAGAAAGTCGTGACAATCGCTACTTTAAAAATCCCCAAAACTCCTATAAATGGACAGCCCCTCCATCGATTACATTATTTTGAAAAAAAGAAGAAACAAGTTTTAAGTTTTTTTTATTTGTTTGTTTATTTTAAAAATTATTTTTAGTACTGCACAATTAAAACATAGATATGTTCTCACTGGTCACAAACAGTCGCAAACATGGTGAATTCTCTCCAAAATATTTCAAAGCCACGTTTCTAAAATATTTGCAAATTTCTCGCTCTCATCCGCTCTCTCAAATATATAAACCATGTTTTCAAATATGCAGTGACGTCATAATAAGTGTGTCGATACATATTGGCCGAATAAGTATTTGGCGTTTTTCTCATATTCAAAAGTATTTTCGAAACTTGGAAATAAATAAAGTCCAGTTGTGGGCCACCTTTGAACAACATATCGAAACTTGGAAATAAATGACATGAAAATGGGTAAAAAATTGGTAAAAATAAAAACACATCGAAACTTGGAAATAAATGACATGAAATGGGTCAAAAATTGGACCAACGCTTAAATGAAAAATTTTGATGCAGATTTTTCGAGAATCAAATTATGAGTCGTTAGAGGTATGCCACTTTGAAATCGGAAACAAACCATAACTGATAACAAGTGATTCCAGTATAATAAAGCATGAAATATTTTTATTTTTATACCCTTGCAGAGGGTATTATAATTTTGGTCGAAAGTGTGCAACGCAGTGAAGCAGACATCTCCGACCTCAGTTTTAAAGATATCAAATTGAAACTTTGCACACACCCTTCTTTCCTTTGCACGCAGCTTATATGTCGGAACGACTATATCCTATAGCTGCCATATAACTGATTGATCGGAAATGCCATAACTTTGGTGTTTTTAAAGTTAGGAAGTTGGAATTTTCTATGGGTTATATATTTGGCCAATCAATCCGACCTACCAAATGTCATAAGGATCAGCCGACTATATCCTATAGCTGCCATATAACTGAACTATAAAGTTACGAAGTTTGGTTTTTTTATCAGTATTAAGAATGCATCATAAGATTAATTTTGTAGAATATAATTTACAGAATATTCTGCAAGGGTATGTCAACTTCGGCTCCGCCCGAAGTTAGCTTTTCTTTCTTGTTTTTTACTGGAATCACTTGTTATTAGCCCAATTTAATTGTAGTTTGACATAAAAATGAACCATATGGATTTCACGCTTTCATGGGCTGGGGGAGGCCTTTGGATGTTATCTGGGAACACGGCGGTGTAACGCTAACGTTAGCCCGCAATTACCAGAAATTTCGCTATATAAGGTGTTTCGAGTATTATTGATCCTCCCTTTCAGGCCAGGTTCCGTGTGATAAAATTCAACCGCGGCACCTGGGAACCCACGATTTACAGCTTCCTTTCGCCGGACTTCTGCGCCATAATGTTCAACGAGAATATATACTGGTTCGTGAACTGGAACAAAAACATTGCGACCCGCGCGGAGATTGAGGAGAAGTGCATCCATACGAAGGACGTGGGTGCAGTGGTACAATATATTATATATTATTGATTTATGTTTATCCCTGCTTTAGACCGTTATTACGTATAATCCCTTTCTGATGAGCATGGAGCTGGACAATGTGCGTATCCCCAATGTGCATGGACGCAATAAGGTGGTGTTCACCTTCGAGGCATTCGACGAAAATGACGTAAGACGCCAGTACGAGAAGTTAAACTGATAATAAAGCGTTCCTAAATGCTCACCATAAACTCCACTGCGCAAAATTCTGACCTTACCCTTTATTCACAATTAATCAAAGCCAGAAAAGCCTTGGATTTCTAATAAAATAATGATATCTAACTGATTTTTTATTGAAAGCTTTACGTTATTGTCTTCAAAATGTATAATTATCATGAATGAGAATTGGTAAGATATTTATCTTGCCGTAAATTTTAAGAAATCGACATATTTTTCATGTCAAATGAATTTCCAAACTGTAACATTACCTACAAATGTTTTCTGTATAAAAATAATTTATAATTTCAAATTAGATTAAATTACTATAATCCAAAAATAAAATTGACATTTTTAATGTGTGTATATATTATTCAAGGCCCTCAAGATTGATTGATTACATGCCTCAATTTTTTTCTTTCGCTATCAGCAAACGAGGCGCATTAAACTGGAACTTAGTCGTAAGCATTTAGCGCTTCAATTCTACTCGTTGTCATTGGTTTCAGATGGTTTTGACCCTGTACAAATGACAAAACAAGAATAGGAAATGTGAGAGATTTCCGACCGAGTACTTAAGCTGTTGATAAGCGCAGAGTAAAAATAATGAGACTCACCGCCAATAGACAATCGGCCAGTGGCTCGAGAAACCACAAACAAGAGGACCCCCAGGACTAAAACAGTCAGGACCAAAACGCCGATGGCAACCTGCATGCCAACAATTGATCCCGCTTCCGAATCGCAGTTCGGTGGTTTGCTCGAGGAATTGGTTTGTAAGAAGTCCTCAATGACATTCTGTTTCTGGATGCCACCCTGCATCGCTTTATCGAAAAGAAATTGTGGTAAATTTGAGACATAAATTAAAAAATAATCCAATTCTTTTCCAAAACCAACTTAAAAATGGATTTTAAATGTATTACCAAAGACCAATATGATCTATATAATTTTATATATTAATATATATTTAGATTTATACGCTCTGAACTTTGTGCTAGCGGAGAGAGCGGAATTTTCGTCGCCACCAAAAAACAAGCTGCATTTCGCAAAACCATTATATTATATTATATTGGTCTTTCAAAATATTTATAGCCCTTAAATTGTGTACTTAAATATTGGATATTGGATTGCTCAGCTTACTTAAAAATAGGTTGGCAAGATGCTAAGCCATTAAATTAACTTTCATTTGTGAATAATTCCTCAATTTACTACTTTAAGAAAATTATAAATTAAAATTAGACATCGTGGATCACTTACATTCCACATAGATAATAAATTGGACCATCAAGTAAGGGAAATCCAATCGCGAGCACATTAGTACCATCTTATTGTGCTCGGGCGTCAACTGAAACTGAATTTCCTTTACTTTAAATGACGATCCGGAAGCATTGATCTTGATTTGATCCTGCAGTTTGCTGAAGTTCCACATTGGCTCTCCATCATAAGCGGTACATTCGGCTTTAAACTCAGTTCCCTCCTTGAAGTAACCCTCGCTATTTGGCAACGAAATCAATCTGATAGTGGGCTGATTCTCTGCCAGAAATTCAAACAGAACAAAAGTATTTATTTGGAAGACAGGAAAGGTCTGTGAGATATTCGTTACTTGGTTATAATCTTATTAAAAAATAAAGTTTTCTAATAAGTTTTTTTGCAAATTTTTTTTCATTCCGTTTACTAAAAATTGGGTTTTGAAGAAGAAAGAAAGCAAGACATTTTTGCAGCCTTTGTAAGCATTGGATCAGGATCCCAATATTTATCACCCACAATATTTACAATCAGATAACTTTCGTGAAAGTGTTTAGATTTTATTTTACCAATACCTCGAAAGGGTGATATTTGAACTTTTAATTTCTCTGTTGTGGGCGATTCCCCGTGCCCCGATGCTTCCGCATTATCCAAATCCTCATTATCTATATCTCGATAATCATAGTAGGCCAGGACATCAGTCAAAAAGCCCCAGATCAGTGCACAAACCACAAACTTTTTAAAGAACATTTTCGCTTAATTTTTATTAATGGTTTCTTATCCCGAATTTATAATTTGTTTTCAATGTTAGGCAGAAAAACTAATGTATTTAGGCGAACGCCTCAATGAAGACTGAAGTAAAGTGAAGTCTGCCGATCCGGCTGGGCGGCAAAAAGCTCAGCTCTCTTGTCGTACTTTTGATGTGCGTAAAAATAGCGTCTGTGATTTAGCAGCGATGTCGGAATATGGAAAATGAGGTCTGCTAAAAAATTGAATTAGAAATAAAGTCCTTGACAGAGCGTGTGCCAAAATGCCTATGTAGGGATGCTTACGTGATGTTTCTGGAAAATTTGATAAAAAATGTATTTACAGTTTTTAAGAAAATCGCATTACAGTTTGCGCAGTTTAAAGGGATTTAAAAGTACCGCCTACTCCATTAGCCATGGCATGAACCAACTTAATTTCTGTCGTTTATCGACTTTTGAAAAATTCCTACGCCCCTCACAGAGCGTGTGCCAAGTCAAGAGATATTTTAAAAAATAGCTAAGTAATTGAACTACCTATGAGCACTAACCACACAAAAACCAGTTTAATATTTGAACCATTTGAATATAACATACATTTTATGAATACTTACTTTTATTCCAGTGTATTTCGGCTTCTGATTTTTGGTGTTCTGTTCGTAAAGTATCTCGAACAACTAAACTAAGGTACGAAGATCGCTCGCGTTTCGGTTCTTTTTGAAGAGAAGTCTGCAAATAATAACGACACGACCAAAGCAGCAAATAACTCATGCTGTTGGTCAGTACACTGAACTAAAATTATCTTACGGTTCCATATTGTCATCTTAATTTCAAAGTAGAAGTCATTACAATCATTGTTTTTAAAGAGAGATTCAACACTGACCTACTGATAATAAAACAAAATATAAGCCAATAAAATGTATTCAGCATATTAATCTTAACATACTTTACACTTATAAAACTAGTTTACGTCTAGTTTTTTTATGGACGCTTGAGTGAATGTTTGGAAGTTGATTTAAATTGACAACAATGTTTCTTACAATAAATTATTTTTCGTGTGTCAACATTCTGAATTTTTATACCCTTGCCGAGGGTATTATAATTTTGGTCAAAAGTGTGCAACATAGTGAAGGAGACATCTCCGACCCTATAAAGAGTGTTAAGAATGCATCATATGAATAATTTTGGAGAATATAATTTGCAGAATATTCTGCAAGGGCTTATCAACTTCGGCTCCGCCCGAAGTTAGGTTTCCTTTCTTGTTAAAATAAACCTATACCCATTTTGAAGTACATAGTGTAACAGATAGGAGCTGAGTACCGACAACTGACTCAAAAGTTCCATTGCTAAGCTTATAAGCTCAACAGTTTGCCGTCAGACATGGAGCGGAGATCAAGAACAATTACGTGGCTCGGATGTTTGTTCCTACTTGGAATATCAGCAGAGACTGATAAGAGGCTGTTCTTTAATCAAAATGAACAAATTATGGACCACATTCTGCGTATCATGGACGAGACGGAAAATCCATGCACTAATTTTAAAAAATATTCTACCGGCAGCACCTCTCATGCCTTCTACACCAGTTATTCTTTACCAGCGCTTGACAATTTGAATCGTAAGTTTTATGCAGTGTTTGAGCAACTTAAGAACCGAGCCTACGAATCCGGCAGTCCGGAGGAGAAGGTCTTTAAGTTGTACAACGCTTGCCAAGCTGACCAAAAGAAGGAAAAGAAAACCAACTATTTGGAGGTGGTTCAGCCGGACATCAATCTCTCCTGGCCCCAAAATACGCCTGATGGCAGACAATGGCCGAAGGAGCGCTTCCAGTGGTTAGTGACGCTCGCCCGATTGCGTCGCTTTGGCATGGATGATGTTTTACTAAAGATGAGCGTTCAAGTGGATTCCGAGGATCACAGCAAGTACACGGTGGTGATCAATAAGCCCAGATATTTGTTTTACGACGACTTGTTGCATGAACTGGGATTCACCAAGAGTAAAGCAACGTTTTTAAATGAAGAAATTAAAAAACTTAGGGATAATCTAAAAAATGAGAATGAGGATAAGCCGTTAAAAAAGCGTTTAAGTCTTCTGGAGTTAGAAAGTCAGCATGGAGTTTCGCTAAAAAAATATCTCGAGGTCGTGTTCGATCGCAGGTTCCCACCTAGTTTCAAGTTGCAGATTGAGGATGTGAACTACTTAGTAAGACTCAATCAACTGATAAGCAGCTCCGACCAAGAGGCTGTGGCCGTCCTCCTCATGGAACGCTTCATCGACTTTATGACTTTAAGCGGCCGCTCTGATGCATCCTACCATTGTGGAATGATCGTTAGAGATCTTATGGAGTTTGCCAGCAATTTGATTTTTGAGGAACATATCCTGGGTGAGAAGAAACTTGGGGAGTACCAATTACAAGCAACGCAATTATTTGAAGCGCTACTCAAGCCCTTTAGAAGTGGGTTAGAGAGGAATCGCCTTAATTTACCAACTTCCCAGATATCAGACCACCTGAAGACTTTGAACGGAATCACTGTAAATGTGGGAAACATGCCAAAAAATGAAGATCACCGTCGCTTTGTGACATCTTACTATGAGGATCTTGACTTGGAAAGCGATGACGACTTCACCATCATTAATTTAAAGATGCGTGTGTTTAAGACAAGTCGCGAGCTGGGGAAATTAGGCAATCCAGTGTCGAATGATCCGAGCCCTTTGAGGAGCATCCAATCAGTTAATTTAGTTAATTTAAGCACAATTGTCATACCCTACTCCGTTTTGGTCGAACCTCTTTTTATGACTCGTGGCCACGACATATTCAAGGTAAATAACAGTTTTTAATTGGTTTCAAAATTGTTTGACAAAAATCTTTTTATATTTCAGTTCAGCAGAGTTGCTTTTGATATCTCTAGCTTATTGATGAACGCCTTACTTACTGCCAATTGCCATGCCAACACAAATTTGATCAAGACTTTGGATGATCATGATATATTTGGCAACAGTCAATTTTCTTGCGACAAAGATTACATGGAAGGGGATGTGGCACACAAATATGTCGGAGTGATCTTGAATTTGATACATGAGGCTTACTTCTTACCGGGGTCAGGATTCGACCAATCGCAACCCAACTTCACCGATAAGTCCGTGGAACAGCTTTTTTTTCTGTTTTCGGCGCAGACCAACTTTATCACCGAAGTTTTGACCATGATGCCCACATTCGCTAAGACCTTTAATTGTCCAAGTGCCTCGTCAACTTTAACTTCGGAAAGCAGTAATTTTAATATCATTGTAGCTATAATAAAAACTTAATTTTCTAAGAAAGTACTATAATTCGATTTTTTGTCAAGGCTTAAAACAATGAAATAAATGAAATGTTTTTTCGAAAAAAATTTCGATTATTCCTATGATTTTAAAACTAATAGACATTGCTTCATCGACTCGCTTGATGATACTCGCCTGGTGATCCTGATCAAGAATATATATACTTTATGTCATTTCTGAATAAAATTTATTTCCGTTAAAATGTCAAATTTGAATGCAGATTATTGCAGAATCAGTAACTTTGAGGTTAGTAAAGTTATGGTCTCTAGAAGTCCAATTCTGGGTCACCATTTTAGAAGTCATCGGAAACTTAGAAATAACTAATATGAGAGTGGGCTCAAAAATTGATCAACGTTAAAGTAACTTTGAGGTTAGTAAAGACTCTAGAAGTCTAATTGTCGGAAAATTAGAAATTACTAACATGAAAATGGGTCACCAATTTGATCAACGTTAAATTGAAAATTTTAAACGCAGATTTTTAGAGAATCTAATCACAAGTCTTTAGAGGCATGCCACTTTGGAATCGGTTTATATTAACTGCAACTATTTTCTCAAAGGGTTTTTGTCAATGAAAAATTTACGTACTCACTAAGAGGTGCCGCCACCAAAAAATGTCCTGGGAGTAATGTTCAGAAACTTTTGAGGACACCTTGTATTCCTTAAAAGTATGTAACAGGCGGGGGAAAGCTTTTCCGAACCCATTTATATCACACACAGTATGCGAATACTTGTAAAGCCGAAGAAATTAAAATCGGCTAAGCAGTGGAAACAGGTGGGACCTCGAATGACAATAAAAAGATAATAGGATTCCGTCAGGCAACATAATCGCGTTTTTATTATAAAATATTTGTAAAAAGTTCAATTAAGGTTACAAGAACTGAAGGCACAAACAAAAGAGGGCGGGGATGAGGAGGAAGTGACCTTGGGGAACATTAGGTGCTTTGGTGGCCGTGTTGTATTGGTAATCATCCGTGTTGTTACGGCGGCTTCCAGAACTGCTGGACCTTGAGCGGTGGTGGTAGGAAGAATAGCTGGATCCAGAATGGCTCTTCCCCGAATCCGAATGCCCCGAATTGGAGTGTGAGTGTGAGTTTGAGTGAGAGGATCCGCTGCGAAAAATACTAAAAATTCCTTTACTTTTGGATTTATGCTTGGCATGCACATCATCGGTGACTACGGCCAACATTAGGAGCAGCACCACCATCATGGTTCCGCTGGGTAGTCTCAGGTAAAAAGACATTCTGAAATGCGTTCATTTTATGGTTTAGTTTTTTAGATAGAGTCGTGCTTATTGGCTTGCTGGAATCCAAAGGTCATGGATTTATATAAGGTAGATGTGAAATGACAAACTGACAATGCAATTCGATCACAGAATTTTAAGTACATTTCAAATTTTATAATTTCTATAACAAATACGCAAATTTGTTTTGGTATCTAAGATTTCTAATATAAATTAATTGATTTGAGAAAAATAAATTGTGCGTGAATAATCTTCAAGGAAGAAGGCGTACTATTAGTCTGTTGAGATGACTCACTCTTAATCATTTAAAATGTAGTTTTCTAGACAAATCAAATTTAATCAAATATTCCAATTTATTTAATTTGATTAGTCCACACATATAGTTTAGTGGATATACTCGTAATGGAAACGAAACATTTTTTCAAGTTAACTAAAAAATGAAGGTAAGTAACATAAGCACGCCAAAAGACGCAATAGATTTTCATGGTTTTTTATTATTTTAATCAAGATTTTATGAAGGTCAAAAGCAGAAAACTGTCTTATCACTTGTTAACCTACTTTACAATTTTGGCAATGATCTAAATTAGCATTAATTGATCATTGCAAGCAATTTTTCTAATAATGTTTTGAATGAAATGCACTTTAATTTATTTTATACTAACTATTGTTTTTGTATAATCCGCTTGCTGCTTTCGACACGAATTTCGGTTTTGTTATGGAACAACTAATCTGAGGTACGAAAATCGCTCGCATTTTGCGTCTTTTTCTGGAGCGAGACAGTTCGGACTAAAATTGATAACATTTGAACTTATGCCCAGTTTTTGGTTTCACAGATTACAATTGACTTTTTAAATTAACAGTGTTGTGCACAACAATGTTGTCTCACAAAAATTTCCCAATATTTTATAATCAATTTATTATTATATAGTACCCTTACCCGATTATACTTTCCGCCTTTGATTATTTAATAGATACCAGAAGGAACTTTTTGGGAAAAATATAAAAAGAAAAATATTTCCAATATTAATATTCACTCAAATTAAAGAAAATAATACAAATGTATGACTATTTTAAAAACTTAAGAAAAAAAAAAGGTTTTAAATAAAAATTTGTTACTTTTTTAGGCACACCAAAATTATGCAGAGTTGCACCTATCCTTTTTTTTTGTGAGTTTATTTATTGTCATTAGTCAGTAAAGGTCGAAAGCAAGCTGAATTCTCTCAAAAAGATTCCAAAAACCATTCCTGAGATTTTTTAGGCTCAGAATTCTATGAATATACTTATTATAATTTAATATTATTTAGTAGAGTTAGCAATGTTGTGGAAGAATTTTAAACGTGATTAGCTGCACTGAGCGAATATACGGTGTATAACCATAAGGTAAGTAAGAATTATATGTGATGTATAGTCAACTCAAGAGTATAAAACAGTATGAAATCCAAATTTAACCATGTTAGTGATGCTGACTAATTTATATAGTCAAAAATTCCTACATTACTTCCTTCTGACCATAATTATAATACACTCTGCAAGGGTTCAAAAAGGGATTATAATAATATCAAAATTATGATTTAAAAAAAAACAATAAGAGACAGCCAATCCAATTGAAACTTAGATAGTCTTAAATCGGTTAACCATATCTTTAATTAGTTAGAAATAATACATTTTTGGAGCCGAACCAGACATTTTTTAGTTTTAATTGTAAAAAAATAAATACAAGTTAAACTAAAATGTGTAAAACTTAATATGTTTTAAGTTTACAATAACTGCAAGCACAAATACAGAAGGGTGGCGATGGGGACGAAGTGTCCATTGGGGAGATAATGTGTTTTGATGGCTGTATTGAACTGATAATACAGAGTATAGTTGTAGGGGTTCTCGTCCTGGTAACCAGTGCTGGAGCGGGATTGGCTATGGTAGTAGTAGGTGGAGTAACTGGGTTCTTTTGCCGGCGGGGAAGGGGCCGAAAAGGATCGCGAGGAACCTGAATTGGATGGCGATATGAGGGTGCTCAAGGAGGACTTGGAGCTAGAACTGGAGGTAATTTGGCTTCCTCTTCCGAAATTCGCGATTAGGTCCCTTAGGCTCTGAATTTGACTTTGTAAAGAACTGTAGGATGGCGGTCTCTCGTAAATGTTTGTGTGAGCTCCGCCCACAGGATTTGAAAAGGAGTACGCCGGCGGAGGTCCTTTGGGCGAACGGTATCCACCTCCAACACTGGAACTTGAATATGATGGTAATGAGAAGGTGCTCGAGGAGGAAGAGGACCTGGAGCCGGAACTGGACTTAGAGCTACTGCTACTTCGGCTGCTGCCACTGGACTTCGCCATGGTATGTGTGCTTAGAGCCAGAAAGACAACCAACACCATCAGGATGCCATATGGCCGCCTCTGATATGAGGTCATCCTGAAAAAAAACCAATCTATTAATAGCACATATGTTAATAGGTACAAATATTATATGGAAACTATGCACATTGGTAGGAATATTAAACTATGTGCCAGAGGAATTGGGCTGTAAGTCTGTCAGAAAAAACAGCTTTCTGATAAGCTATCACTATTATCAAACAACTGCAATCCTAAAAATAGCCTTGATTTCTATTGCTGAGCAACACTAACAACTAGTAACACCAGAAATGATTTGACCACGACTATCACTTTCGTAAATAAAATGTAATTCAAATTTTTAACTCAGTTTTTAAGCGGAATATTCGTATTATATCAATATCTAATTCAATAAAAGAAATTCGCTGGCTGATGTGTTTTATACATTTTTTTCTCTATTACTTGGCTGCGAGTTCACGAACGACTGACTTCCTTTGACTTGCGAGGCCCATCAAAAGCTACCTCGTTTCAAACATCAAATGCTGTGTATCTATTAAAAGCGCTGTGAAAAGCGTTTAAGGAAACTGCTGTGTTCGAAGACGAATTGGCGAGGTTTTAGCCTTGACTGGATAAGAGCACAAACCATACAACCACTAGTGGTAAGAGTTACTTGAGTTGAGAGGGTATATTTGCTTATTCTAATGCTATCCTAATCCATCGGCTAACGGTACTGGCTTGTCCTTACGAATAATTATCTCGTTGTTGTCTTGGCTTAACATATGATCTGAGACCATGCATACTTGTTCAAGGATAAAGTTGAGGTGTTTGTCTTAGCTAACCACTGCCCCAATTACGTAATTATTGAGGAGGGTCAACGAATTGACTATCTCTGATTATTAGGGGTAGGTCTAAAAAAAAAGATTACGTAATCATTTTTATACCCTTGCAGAGGGTATTATAATTTTGGTCAAAAGTGTGCAACGCAGTGAAGGAGACATCTCCGACCCTATAAAGTATATATATTCTTGATCAGGATCACCTCCTGAGTTGATATAGCCATGTCCGTCTGTCCGTCTGTCCGTCTGTCCGTCTGTCCGTCTGTCCGTCTGTCCGTCTGTCCGTCTGTCCGTCTGTCCGTCTGTCTGTCCGTCTGTCTGTTTCTACGCGAACTAGTCTCTCAGTTTTAAAGATATCGAATTGAAACTTTGCACACACCCTTCTTTCCTTTGCACGCAGTATATAAGTCGGAACGGCCGGGATCGGCCGACTATATCCTATAGCTGCCATATAACTGATTGATCGGAAATGCCATAACTCTGCTGTTTGTTAAGTTAGAAAGTTGGGACTTTCTATGGGTTTTATATTTGGCCAATCAATCCGACGTACCAAATTTCATAAGGATCGGCCGACTATATCTTATAGCTGCCATATAACTGATTGATCGAAAATGCCATAACTTTGGTGTTTGTAAAGTTAGGAAGTTGCGATTTTCTATGGGTTTTATATTTGGCCAATTAATCCGACCTACCAAATTTCATAAGGATCGGCCGACTATATCTTATAGCTGCCATATAACTGATTGATCGGAAATGCCATAACTTTGGTGTTTGTTAAGTTAGGAAGTTGGGATTTTCTATGGGTTTTATTTTTGCCTAATCAATCCGACATATCAAATTTCATAAGGATCGGCCGACTATATCCTATAGCTGCCATATAACTGAACGATTGGAAATGCCATAACTTTGGTGTTTTTAAAGTTAGGAAGTTGGGATTTTTTATGAGTATTAAGAATGCATTATATGAATGATTTTGGAGAATATAATTTGCAGAATATTCTGCAAGGGTATTTCAACTTCGGCTCCGCCCGAAGTTAGCTTTCCTTTCTTGTTATTCTGATTATTGATTATATTTAATAAAAAACGTAAATCTATAATGTTTACTTCAATACCATATAGTGGGCCTATTACAATTTGGATACCCAGATATCTGATAGTCTTCTATCTCTTTTTTACAATATTTATACCCGTTACTCGTAGAGTAAAAGGGTATATTGTATTCGTGCAAAAGTATGTAACAGCTAGAAGGAAGCGTTTCCGACCCTATAAAGTATATATATTCTTGATCAGGGTCACTAGCCGAGTCGATATAGCCATGTCCGTCTGTCCGTCTGTCTGTCCGTCTGTCTGTCCGTCTGTCTGTCCGTCTGTCTGTCTGTCCGTATGAACGCTGAGATCTCGGAAACTATAAAAGCTAGAAGATTGGCATTTTGCATGCGGATTCTAGGAGTTCCTACGCAGCGCAAGTTTGTTTCAAAAAGGTGCCACGCCCCCTTTAACGCCCACAATCCCTTTTATACGATTTTAAAAATTTTAATATTTCGGAAAAGTAAAAATGCAGTTTTATTGTGTTTATCAATACCTATCGAAATGTAGAAGAAATTTTTCAAATCGGACCATTCGTTAAAAAGTTGCGCGTGATCAAAGTTTCTATCTCCATCTCCCTCGCACTCCCTTTACCTGAGTAACGGGTATCTGATAGTCGGGGCACCCGACTATAGCGTTCTCTCTTGTTTTAATTTTTAATATTTTAAAGAAAAATGTCTTTTGTCTTGTTCTTCTTTTATAATGTTTTCTAAATTTCTAATTCTATTTTGTGTTTATCCCATTGTTTTTTATCTAATCTGTTTTTCAATTTGCCACTAATTTCCAATATTTGTCCTAACACAACTGGATTTTTCTTGGATATTTTTCACTACTGTGATGTTATGTATTTTTCTATTCCTTTTCTTTTGTAATTTTTTACTATAAAGTTCTTAAATTTTGTTAATGTAAAAGAATTTCCTCCTTCCATAAAATAATCTTTTAATGCAAAAATTACTTCTCTAGTACTCTGTTTTCGTTGTGTATAATGGAAAACAAATTTTCTAAATTAGTTATGGCCTATGAAATTTTCGAAATTTGTTTGCTTTCAGAATAAGGGATGTTCCAAATTACAATAACAACACAGAGAAAAATATGATTTAAATAATATTTATTTAGAAAACATTTCTTATTTTTATTATTTCTTATTGTAAAACATAATTTGTACAAGTTAAAATTATAACAATAACTGCAAGCTCAAACTTAAAAGGGTAGAGATGAGGACGAAGTCTCCACGGGGGAGATAATGAGCTTTGGTGGCTGTGTTGAATAGGTAATCATATTTTTCATCACTATTATAGTCATCATTATCATTACTAGGGCTATATTCGGATAGACTGCTGAAATCGGGGATATAAACGGAACTCGGTTTTTTAATTCGACGGGATCGGCTTTTGTCTGACGAGCTGTAACTATTGAAGTGGTACGACGGGGACGATTTAGAGCTCGAGGAGGATGGCCACGAGAAGGAGCTCGAGGAGGAACTGGATCTGGAACTGAAACTGTAACTGGAACTGGACTTGGAGCTACTGCTACTGCTACTTCGGCTGCTGGACTTCGCCATGGCAAGTGTGCCTAGGACCAGAAGGACAACCACCACCAGCAGAATGCCAAAAGGACGCCTCTGATATGAGTACATACTGAAACGATAAAAGGTATATTCTCCCTTCATTGTAAAAGACGGTGGAAAAAGTGGTTTGCATTGAAGAATAATGTGCCCCAAAATAAATCATCAGAAAAAGTGTAACAATTTTCCTAAATTATATTAAGCGACTTTTAACACAAAAACTGTTTTATTTTAACGAAAAGGAACTTTTAGTTTACATAGTATTTATAAATGTGTTTCATAACATTTAATTACAAATGTGATAGACGCGGACAAAGTAGCATCGAGTTCTGATTGTTGGTTATAGGAGGCAAAATATTTATTCAGAAAGACGGATGCCTTCTAACTTCTAAATAATTTATTTAAATGCCTTTTTTGTTTTGTTAAACGTTTAATGTACACCAACACATGAAAGCAATAAAAGTCAAACGTTATTAAAATAGTACCGTTCAGGGGTTTTGTTTGTCAACAGGTATTATGGACAAAAGAATTGTCTATTTTTTTAACTTCATAGTTTGAAACAAAATAAGCGATTACCTGTAGCCACTATTAGGTCAAGACTCGTTGCCCCAAAGTGTCGTCAAGTAAATGAATATAATAATACGTATTACTTATAAACTTTAAATTGTGTGAGTTATAATTTTATTTGTTTTTTGCGCGAACGATGTTTGGTTTAGTTTGTTCAAAGTATCTCAAAGAACTAATCAGCGGTGGAAAAATGTTGGCGTTTCGCCACTTTTTGGGTTTGGTTTGCGATAAGCAAAGCCGCGAACACGGCATCTAAAACAACATGCTGCTGGCAGCTTTCTCTCCTGATTTCAACTTCACTCTATCAATAAAATCTAGACGTGCCGCAAACTAATTAAATGTTCTTTGGATTGATTCATTCTATGTTCATCAGGGCCGTCCAAATTTAAACGAACATCTTAAGGTTCACCCGGTTTTACTGTTCCATCAAGACGCAGAAAGAAGAAAATTGTTGGGAAAAATGCGTTTTTGGGTCTGCGCATTGACTTTCAAGACTATCACTTATACGCACTGTTGCGTAAGAGTTATATGTAAAAACCTTTGGAGAAGCTACTTAAATAAGCAAATATTTTGTTTATAAGCTTGGTTATTATAAATATTTCCGCAGAAACCTTTTAATAATTGTAGTGGTGTAAAAATCAAAAATATATTTTTAAATAAGTTTACCGTAAAAATGTTTTAAATAAAATTCCCCAACATAAAGCTGTTCATTGAAGAAAAATATCAGCTGTGCAACTATGCATATCGATTATTATTTAAAACCTCGTTTTTAAATATTTTAAATAAAATTTAGCGAATCCAGAGGAATTTAGAATTTTTAGCGAAACCAGAGGAATTCTATTACAGTTTAATACCCAAAATTGATCCGAGGGTATTGCTTGTGTTTTAAATTTGGATACTAAAAATTGCGGTGGAAGTACAAAAAAAAATACTTGATAAACTATGGACAGGGTTGGAGCTGAAATAATGAATTTGTTAATTTTTATTATTATTGATTATCAAAATTTCAAACATACAATTTTGTAACGAAAAATGATTATATTTTTGGGTCAACAAATACATATTCAACTCACATACAATTCATAACCCCTTCTAAAAAATAACACCAATAACAGCGTTTTAATAGTTTTATACATTTATTAGTTTGAGGTCTAGCCGAACTCGTTTCCAGGAATGGATTATGTAGAGTTTGGCATTCAGATATGGTCATTGAGACATTAGGCCACAATCAGGGTCACCACAGTGGAGATTCGGCTAAAGTGTCCAAAGGTTGACCGACGGTCGAGCAGGAAATGAGTGGTGCGCAGGAGCCGCGTGGTAAGAACGAGCTGAATAGGAAGAGTTCCTGTTCCTGTTCCTGGAACTGAGGCCTCCGCGGCTTCTGGTGCCAACGGACCAATGCCTGGCATGCACATCCTCGATGGTTAGCGCCAATACTAGGAGCACTACCACCAACAGGCTGCCAATGAGTCGCCTCGGGGAAAGGATCATTCTGTAATAGGTTTAACGCTCAGTTACTTACAACGTTCGGATTGCTGGCATTTGTATTTTTTTTAAAGACTTATTTGCGCCTGCAAACATTAAATTATAATCTCCGCAAAAAAAATTAAAATTGTTTGCCAATGAAAAAATATAAAGTATATTAAATGGAGCACGCAAAACACCCTTGTCTTTAAATGTAATACATGTTACGCTAACTTGTACGGTACTTACATTGGTATGCTGTGTATTCAGTCGTTTGCTGAAACTTTATAGTTTTAAAATTAAAAAAAAAACGGTTAAAAGATCGTAAGCTATTACCTGCAGCCAGTATTGGGTTGACACTCGTTAGGCCTCGTTGACCTCGTGTCCTCAAAAAAATATTGTTTTGCTAATTTTATTTGTTTTTTTGCCCGAATGATTTTTGGTTTCGTTTGTTCAAAGTATATCAAAGAACTAATCAGGAGTAAATAAATGGTGGCGTTTCCCGATTTATTTGGGGGTTTTGTTTGCGATAATCAAAGCAGCGAGCGCGGGATCTAAAACATGCTACTGGGAGCTTTATTTCCTGATGTCAACTTAATGCTATCAAGACAATCTAAACGTGCCGCCAACTAATTGAATGTTTTTTGGATTGATTCAGTCTATGTACGTCAAGGCTGTCCAAATTAAAATGAGCACCCCGATTTTCTGTGCGCTTTGGCGCTTCAGAGCATTGACTTCAAAGTTTATTACTCATACGGACTGTTGCCTTTGGTCAAATAATTAATTTTAACTAAAATTATCTGCCGTATAACATCTTTTTACGTAAGCATTTATTTACCAAAACCCATACCATAAATGGTGATAGTATTTATTTTTTGTTGAGACTACTCTAATGTAGTTATATTGTAAGATATGCTGTAAATATACATGCAGATAATTTTAAAGTGTAGCTGAAATGTACACGAATTCAAATTATCAATATTTAATATTATTTTCTGGTACTCCTTTTTATTTTAACCAATATTTGCAATAGCGTTTTTTAAAATATCGTATTACTGGATCGTTTAGATTTACTTAACAGGCCTAGATAACAATTTTATGGAATTAAGTGATATGATCGAAAAAACAGGCACCGTAATTATTTTAAATTAAATAATACAAATTAAGTTCGGCTTGATCAAGTCATTATATTTGATTTAGTTTTTTAATTATTCGTAATTTACGGATTTTGCGTGATTTTTCACCAATATTGTTTCATATACTTGTGAAGGGATCACACACAGATCTAACGCAGAAGCAGTGAAGTAGCGATGAGTTTTATTTTAATTTTCCAAGTAATTAAGTAGAGCATTGCGGTGTTATTAGTTTTGTAGTTATAACAGTAGTTTACTGTTGAAAAATGTGGAACTAGTACATTTATTTTGTCTCCAAAATTTGTTGTTGGTTTTAAAATAAGAAGATCAGCTCCTAGGTAAAGATTTTATTTTTGCATTCGTTGCTTCTTGACTGGGGGAATGCATCCCAGAACCCCAGTGGTGGAAATCGGGGAGGAACCTGGGTTGAATGCCATCCCAGGTCTCCCGCTGAAAGCCCTAGAAGTTGAATGGGCCCTGGCTGGAGGATGAGCACGGGGTCGAGCTCCAGGAGTTGAAGCCACCACTGGGGAGTTGGAACTGATGCCTAGAAGAGTCGAATGGGAGCCACCGGGCCGAGACTTGGAACGTGGAGCGGGTCGAGCCGTGGGGGACATCGAATGGGAGTTGGAGCTACTAAGAGCCAGCACCGCTGGGACAGGTGCCACCGGATTGGAGGGCAGTCTGATCCTCGGCTGGGGCTCAGTGCCCTTGCCCTTCAGCTCGGCCGTCATGCCCACCTGGCAGTGGCGGAAGGTGGGCAGCAATAGACCGTGGTTCAGACCCGGCGTGGGCATAGATGCCTGGCCGGGAAGCAGGGACTTCAGCGACTGCTGGCGGGGTCTCCTCCTGAGCTCCACGGTCCGCTCCAGGTCCGCCATCTCCAGATCCTCGACACTCACGTTGGAGCGGTTCGCCAGCTTGGCGAAGCGTTGGGCCTCGACCAGTTTGTCCCTTGCCAAAGCTGAACCAGCCACTTATTTGTATGAGCACATATGTTTGGATGAGGGTTTCAACTCACTGTAAGCCAGATCTAGGATCACACCACGAGCCTGTGGCTCCGCCTCCAATCGAAGGTCCTTCAACAGACTGTCCACGAACTCCAGATCAGAACGGATATCCAATTCGCGTTCGCTGAACTTGTAATTCGTTTTTTTGTCCATCGTTAAGTAAATTTTCCAGATTTTTCAATATAAATCGTTTGACAGCTTAATTGAAATGACACAATTGTCAAATGAAAATTTAATGGGGCTAAAAGGGTTGTTTTATGTTAGCTGGCAACTTTGGTCACCTATCGCATTTTTAAGGAGCTACGAAAATCCATAAACTTTTTTAAGTGTTGAATAGTGGATATGTTTATTTTCACCTATTTACTACCTATATATTGTTTTTGTTTGTTTTATAAAGAAAATAAGTAGTAATTAATTTTTTTTTGTAGAATTACCATTTTTATTTACCCTTTTCGAGGTAAAAGCAATTTGCTATAAACATAGGTAGTCTTGAAATTAAATTTAAATTTTTATCAGTTAAGTTTTCGTTGATCCCGTTGTGTTGAGAAACTGAGAGGGATTATATACCATTGCAGACGGTAATAATTTCACTCAAAAGAATCTAGGAGAAAATCTGCCAAAAGTGTTCATTCCATTGATAACAGCATTCGAAATGGTACGGACAGGGTCGGCTAACTAAAAAATAACTTTAAAAAATTTGAACTTTATTGTTTTTAAACATATACGCTTTTACTCCGAGTAGTAATTTTTACAATTTAAGAACTACATTTTTAATTTTATGAAAGTCGAACAACTATATAAATATATCGAAATATCTTGATAATAATATAATTTCGTTGTTCTTAAGCATACACGCAATATATAGTCGTTCAATGAAACATAACATTTTTTTTGTTACTCCAAGGGTATATAAACTTCCGCTTGCCGATGAGTGCTTCCGTTTTTGATTGTTTTATTATTTCGATCTTTCCTAAGGTTTTTTTTCTTAGCAATATTTTTTTTAGTAAGCCTGTCTATTTACGAACTTAACAGAATGAGAGAAATTAATATTGCTAATTATGACTCTATCTACAGGTTAAAATATGATATGCGTCACAAAAAATTTTTTCCGAAGTTATATCGCCCGAAACGAAATGTTCCAAAAAACTTTTAAATATCGGTGCTAGCCGATTATATTTTCGCGTCAACAAAACCTTTTTTTAAATTTTCGTCACTGAAAAGCAAAATTCTCTTACCCCTTCAGAAAATGAATATCCATAAGCAAGTTTTAATAGTTTATACATTTATTGGTGGCTTAGTTTGAGGTCTAGCAGAACTCCGAGTACATATCAAAAATTCGTTTTTTTACAAAATATATAAAGAGAACCTATTGGTTGCGGCTAGATTTATAAATCTATTTGAATCTCGTGTCCCACAGAATGGCAATAAATTAGTTAAAGCTTTCCGGTTGCCAATAACACTGCGTCCTTGATTGAGAAATGATTGAAGTGGAGATGGGCGTTCAGTGGAGACAGTAGGCCACAATCAGGGTCACCACAGTGGAGATGAGGCTGAAGTGTCCGAAGGTTGGCCCAGCCACACTGTGTGCATCTTTCAATCCCGATTCAGCGGACAGTCTTGCCTGGGTGAGTCCCGGCATCCTCATGATATCCGGCTGACTGCCGGGGATTATTGGAGCCAACGGCACAGATCCCTCTGGAATGGTTAAGGGCGTAGTGGCCTCGAAGGGAGCTAGTTGGACCGCTCCCGGGCCAGAAATCGGAGCGGGCACAGGCCCCTCAACGGGTGCGGTTCCATTGGCCGGAGGAGCAGTTTCCGGCGGTGGTGCTGGATAGCAGGCGATCTGGTCCACCTCGATCGTCTTGGTGGGATCCTTCGGATCTGGTTGTGGTACTTTCACGGGCACACAAATAATCTGTCCAGCAGGTGGGGCATTGGGATCAGCGGGGGCGCCAGGTGCAGGAGGAACTGGGGCATTGGGATCCGCTGGATCCGGGACACCTGCTGCAACTGGAGTTCCAGGGGCAACTGGAGTTCCTGGGGCAACTGGTGTTCCTGGGGCAACTGGAGTTCCAGGGCCAACTGGTGTTCCAGTTCCAGGGGCTGGAGCCGAAGGATCAGACGGGGCTGGTGGGGAAGGACCCAAAGGCGCCAATGGCACAGCTCCTGGAACTGGTGGAACAGGAAGAGCTTGGACGCCAGGAGCAGGAGGAGCCGCGTAAACAGGTGGCACTGGCAGCGAGGGACTAGCCGCTGCCTGGGTTCCTCCAGTGTTTATCACCGTAGTGCCAGACCCCACATCACTGGTGGTCACAGATCCAGGTGGGCCGTTGTTGATAATTATGATCTTGTCGTCGCCGCCGCCGCCGCCACCACCTCCTCCACCGCCGGAGTAGGAATTCGAATGGTCCACCACACGGGTTTGGGTTGGAGTGAGGGCGTGACCCAGGATGGCACCACCCAAGGCTCCAGCAATGAGACCAGTGCCTGTAAAAAGTACAGAAAACAAGTCAGCAAAGTTAATGTTAATTCAAAAGTGCATTAAAACTCACCCAATCCAAAGCCTGAAGAGGACTTTTGCGGCGCCTGCGGATAGTAAACAGCTCCTGGGGGCAGGGCTCCTCCGGCGGGCAGGAAGGTGGCTCCTGCTGGGACTCCTCCGGCCACGGGTCCTTGGGGATAGTATCCGCCTCCGGCCGGATAGCTGCCGGCGGGATGGTACGTGGCTCCGGCCGGAACGTGGCCCGACGGGTAGTAAGTGGCTCCGTGGGGCACCTGGCCAGCCGGGTGGTACGAGGCTCCTGCCGGATATCCGCCGGAGGGATGGTAGGTGGCTCCGGCCGGAATCTGACCAGCTGGATGGTAGGTGGCTCCGGGTGGCAACTGCTGGCGCGGATAGCTCGACTGCACGTTGTGGGCATTGGTGGCAGTGATGGGCTGATAGCCACCCGACGATCCATATCCTCCCGTGGAGTTGCTGCGCCCGCGGTAGCCAGTGTTGGAGTTTGCTCCGCCATAGTAGTGGGATCCACTGGAACTTGGACTGGCTGGACGGGATGGACTCTGCAGACTCGGGCTGCCGTGCGTCTGGGTGGCCGCCGTATAGCTAGGTGGTGCCGGCTTGAAGGCCGGATTGTAGGCTGGCGGACGCTCGTTGATGTTGGTGTGAGCTCCACCCACGGGGTTCGAGTGGGAGTAGGCCGGCGGAGGTCCTTGGGGCTTGGCAGGGACATTCCAGCCGATTGGGGAGGCGGGGGGCCGAGGGCGCCGCACTGTGTGTCTGCGGAATGGCCACCTTGGCCGGCTGCGTATGGGTTCCACCGCCGTAGCTCAGCCTCGTGTTGTCCACGTTTGAGTGGTGTGCAGGAGCTGAGTGGTGTGCTGGAACTGAGTGGTGTGCAGGTGGCGCATGGTAGGAAGGAGCGTGGTAAGAAGGAACGTGGTAGGAGGGAGCTGAATAGGATGGGGATGAGGTCCTTCTGCCGGAACTGGAACTGGAGCTTCCGCGGCTTCTGCCGCCACTGGACTTCCATTTGGCATCCACATCCTCGGTGGTTAGCGCCAATACAAGGAGCACTACCACCAACAGGCTGCCACTGAGCCGCCTCGGGTAAAGGGACATTCTGAAATGGGTTCAACGCTCAATTAGTCACAGTGATATCAATTCGGATTGTTTGCATTTATTATGGTTTTTTTAAAGACTTATGTGTCAGTCATGATAAAGTCTGTTTTCGACTTTGCTGTCAAGTTATACATAAACAACAGTTTGAGTTAATTGAGGTACCAGAAAGTTTCGGATCCCCCCAAACAACATTTACAATTCGTTTGCTAATAAGATTACAAAATCTAAACTTATAACAAGTGATCACTTGTTATGCGCTTTTTCCTTTCATCATATTAAATAATTTACAAAAGGTTATGTATTTTAAGAATACCCTTACAAAGCCTCAAATGACACAGAGGGTATGAATGTTTCGACTTTTGCAGACATCGCTTAGGTTTATTTTGATGTATTCCCCTAAAGCACCCTCATCTCATTCCCCATTGTCAGTCATCATCAGCCGCCATGGCTTTATTGTTATGTTTGTGTAAAAAAAACAATAGATTCAATTTACGCTAATAATATACCAAAATTATGGTAAGTCAACTGAGAATTAGTTTCCCGCTGGTTTTCTAGATTTTTTACATTTAAAGAGCTATTATTGAAGCCGAATTTTTGTATACAGTTCTGAAATATTTCCGAACCACTTGAACTATTCAAGAATGAGGCGTTGTCGTGCCCTGATTTTCGAGTTTACAGGAGGTTTAGAACGGACTGCCTCCCTTTTATTTGCCCAAATTAGAAGCGCGATATGCGTGTCTTGGGTTGCCGCCTAATGATAATTAACTTGCTGATTTGGACGGCTTGTCGCGTGGCTACACTCCATTGACTTTTACCAAACACACCCAGACTGGGCTCCAGAACTATAAACACACAAATTCGGAGGTCAAGACTGGGGGTTACGAGGCTAACGGATGTGCTCATTATTATGCCAGAAGGAGAAAGAAACTTGAACAAAAATTAATCGCAAATTAAAAGTGTCGTGAAACGTCATGCGCTTTAATTCTGATAACCATACAAATTTCGTAAAAATATAATATATTTTTTTTATCGATTAAAATGAAAACCAGAAAAGAAATACATTTGTATTTATTAACCTATATTTTAACAACCTGCGCATTAAAACTTGTTTGACGCATTTATATATTAATACAAATCATCAACTCGTGTTAATCAAAATGGTAAAACAACATATTAAAGTGCTTTCAAATTAGTAAAAAAGGTATTAATTTAATTTTATTATCAAAATTATTATAATACTGACTATATGAATTATATTAAGATTAAAAAGCTATAACTATAAACATTCTATTGAGATTAAAATGGTATTACTTTAATTGTATAATCAAGTCGCCATTATAATTATACAAGAAATCCCCGCTTTGTTGTTTTTGATTAAGATTAGCACACGATTATAAAGCAGAATTTTGTTAGGAAAAGGAATTTGAAATGAAATTGGATCAATCCTATAACTCTAATTGTCAAGTTAACAAAGATAATTTAAAAAAAAAATTCTTTCAAATTCCGTGTAAATAAGCCATAGATTTGCATTGTTTTATTTAAACAAACAGGTTCAACTACAATTGTAGTCAGACTTTTGTTTGGGACTGACACATGCACTTGCTGTAGACTGCAAGCGATGATGAAAACGTGATATACTCGTTTGATGACTCATAAAACCGCTGAACTGCAACGCATGCGCAGCTATGACGTCAATGGGGAAATGCTCTAATACGAAGCTGTTAACCTCATGTTTCTTTCGATTTCTACCAATTACACGAGTGTCCGCCGGGGCACCATAATCACAGAGAGACTCGGTCTAGAAATCATATTCTTATCGCAGAGCTAAGGTTAGATGTCAAAGCGCTTAAAGATTACCACTGGTTTGATTTCAATGCAAATAAGTCTTTCAATAATAAATGATTCACATTTTTCTCAGCCTTGGAGAGAGCTTTATTTGCTCAAGACTTACATTATATAATAAAGACAAAAGATACTAAAATAAAAGTTAATTGGGCGTCAAAAGCCGGTTAGTTATGTGGGTTTTTGAGTGGGTGACTCTTGAAAACCGTTTTGGCACGAATTGTTATTATTTGTTATTTAGTCAGCTGGTCCTAAAACTAAATTTATTTATGTAAATCTTTGAGCCATAGATCTAAAGAGATGTAGCAGCTGTTTCTACTGGCTATTATGGATGATCTAATACTGTTTAGTAAGAGAGTCTTATTATATTATATTTTCCATATTTATATGGAAATAAATTTACTACAAATGTGTAGTGAGTCAAAAGTTTACAATCTGAACTTGGCTTATTGATTAATTTTTTTACTTCTTTCCAGTATTTTTTTCACTTCAATGTACCTATGCATCAATTTTTGCTGAGTAAAACGAATAAAATTCGCGCCTTTTCAAATGTTTTCCCTTGTCTACTGCAAACGTTCAATCAGCGTCATAACAAAGTGGGTTTTTCTAATTTTAAACCAAACTGTTAGGTGCAGAAAATAAAATATCTCTGGATATTTCAGAACCTAAGAGATACACAATAAACCCATAAACACATTTGCTGACATATTCAAATACAAAATAAATTTTTAAGTGGAGGTAAGGAACCTCAAATTGATTTTGATGGGGAATAGTCTTTAAATACATATGTCTGGCTTCTGTTATATATACATATATACATTTATGATCGCGGTTCCACAAACAAAATGTTTTATTTTTTTGTTTTGTTTAAAGTGACCTTCCATTCGACCAAGCATTGCAAAAAAGAATTAAAAGCAACAAAAACAAAGAGCAGGCGTCGCAATTAGTGTTTCAATTAATGAAATTTCTGTTCGTACCTTACGCCAAAAGTTTTGTGAATTAAAAACAGTACAATATTTGAAATGGAGAACTCAAAACACCCTCGTCTTTGAATGCAATAAGTGTAAAAACCATTTATTTGATATTTACTTTGGTTTGCTGTGTATTCCGTCGTTTGCTGTTTCTGCCGCGTGCGATTTTCGCCTTTGTTTCGTGCAAAGTTACTCGAACAACTGAACAAAAATCGCTCGCGTTTTGCGTTTTCCTCTGGAGCGTACAGCGAGCACAGCGGCAGAGCAGCAAATGTGGGAGCCAAGGCAAGATGTTGACGTTAGACAGTGGTCAGTACACTGAAAAAATTGATACACTTCCAAAAACTAAATTTATTAATTTTAAATTTACCTAGTACAAAAATAGTAGCCAATAAATGAAAGTGCTGACATTAAAACGAAATTTTATAACGCTAAAGATTTAATGGTTTTATTTTTTGTTTGCATTTTTAATATAATTTTATTTATTTCATTAGAAAATAAATGCATTTTTGAAATAGAAATATGTTATTTTCATATTTAAATTTTATCATATGTAGGCCTTACTTTAGCCCTAGGTATTTTTTTCTGTGCAATCGACCACTGCCCTCCACTGTTCTCTCTTTATATTTGATGTTTGTTTCTGACGTACATAGCTTTATTGTCTCTTGGGCACTTTTTTTTATGTTTTTATTTCATTCTAGCATTTTTTGTGTGCGCCTACGATGAGAATCTCCCGTGTAGCCCTTTTATCTTTGTGCTGTAAAATCCTACTTGCTAGAATTAAAGTGCTTACTTACACTTATAATTTGCGTGAGATAATATAAATAAATAAACATATAATACCTTAACTGAATAAGTCCAACAGAAACATTTTTTGTTATTTAAAGGATTTAAGATATTAAAAAAATCAGGATCTCAACAAAATTACTGGTCATTTTTAATTAACCTATTTGAGTGCCCAAAATATTATTTTTCTTTCAGCGAAACCTAATTTATTTACGATTTTTTAATGGGATTTCTAAAACAAATAAGTTTAAATGCATTGGCTTTTTTATTTTATGGGCGCTAAAACGGGATTTACGGAATCAATGGGTTTCACCAAGGCGAACAGTGTATTTGTTCTGTATCTCATATTTCGGTCATGAAAAAACCCATATACTTTTTCTATACCTACAAAACCGTGCCTGTATCCGCAAAGATAGTATAAAGGAATCTCGATATCCTGAGTGATTTTAAAGTGGAAATTATCTATGTAGATGAAAGAGAGGGAGAGAGGGACAGAGAAAGTCTCTCTAAGAAATATTTGAGTATTTAAACTATATGGGAAATAATTTTAGCATCTAAAATTTTATATTAATAATTGAATGAATATTAAAATATATTTGAGGAGTTCAACTTGATACAAAATCTTTCATTTAAGTTAAATAATTTTAACGAATAAAAAAATATATAAAATAAAAAATTAACAGCGTTTATTTGTAAGCATAATGGAAAAAAATCAAATAAAGAACTTAATTAATTAAACTTAATTTTTGTAAAAGCTGCAAGGGTATATAAACGTCAGCTTGCTTCCTTTCTTGGTTTATTTTTGTTTCTGCGGCGCGTTTGGTTGTAGGTGTTGTGGGATGAAATGAGTGCCAAGTGAGCTTCATTGCTCTCGTTAGATCATCGCACGCTTTTGTTCGTGTGTTTTGAGCCCGTGTCGCTACTTTGTTTTTGATTTCGAGAATACCCGTTACCTGAGTGGGTATATTGTTATTAAAATAAATGCAACATGGTAAGGGGGCAATTTCTGATCCATTCTTGATTGATGATTCGCATTGCATTGAAAATTGTGTTTACATATTAACTTAAATGTTAAACATGCTTTTCTTCGTAACCCTGAAATAAAGTCTATTGATCTACTGCAAATATATCGTAATGATAAGGTGAAAAGTTTAACTATTATATAGTTACATATTTATACTAAAAAAATTATAATTGTAATTCAAAACAATATATTCGTCGCATTGCTATCCACATATTTGAAGGCAGAGATTTTAAGGTTTGTAATAGACTTCTGCATGAATGCAGAATGAATGAGTGCAGTATTTTTAAGATTTTTACTGTACATACAGTGGCTCACAGCTTATTTCAACCAGTGCTCAAGTACAACTTTAAATCGCTGTATTTGCCAAATTAAGAGAGATATTGGAACATTTTAAACGCAGATTTATAGCTCTGTATTTTAACTTTTATTTCATGAATTCCTACATTTTTAAATATTTTTGTAATATTTATTTTGATTTTAAGACTTAAATAACAGATAAAATGAATGCCACAGCTTATTTCAACCAGCCCTTAAAAGTATATATTTTTTAAAGATTAAGAACTAAAATGATAAAATAATATTTTGTATGACCAGCCTTCGTGTAAACAATCATTTTAAGTCTTATTGCGATTGATTCGACCAATTTTTAAGTCACTTGGGGACTCATTTTGGCCCGTTCTTTGAGTAATGCGTTTTTTAGGTCCGTTTGAGCTTTCGAATTTTTCTGTCCAATATAGCCCATCAATTATCAATAATATTATTATCTGGAGACCAGGCTGATGATTTCATGATATGCGGGCAATTTTAAATGAGCCATATCGGCAGAGTTCCTGATGTGTGTTTGGGATAATTGTCCTGATAATTGTCGGAATTTATCACGAATTCCCGGATTTTCTCCACTTTGCACCAAAATGGACTTCAATATGCTTAAATTAAGAGTTTTTTTCATTGTTGTGTCCACCAAATAAATAAATTTTGAATATTGCTTGTCAAGTTATAAATGTTACAAGATAACAGAGAGCAAAGAATTTAAGCCTGAAAAGGTCCATTATATAAAAAACGCAAGTATTGTCACTTAAAAAGTTTGAACAACGGCGCTAAAACTGTATGACCACCTTGGAGAAAACGCAGAAAGTCCCGTAACGCCATGCGAAAGTGGCCAGAAAGCGCCTATATTTGCGTTAAACCCAAAGGTGGTCACACTGCCTGGACCTGAAATCTATGTGTCGCGAAATTCTCCGTTCCGTTGCATTTTCCGCGAGAAAAAAGTGACGTCGACGGGAGCCGGGGGTGGGGGGCAGGTCGCCGCGATCAGTTTTCCGTGCAAAGTGATCGAATACACCAGTTTTCCCGTCGCGTGTGTTACCCATGTGCAAAATACAGTGCTGCCAGACCGTCAAACTGAACTTTACCGGTTTTTCCCCAATTTCTCAGTTTTCCGAACTCGGCCACCAGCGTGAGGCCCCCCAAAAGTTGCGCCCCGCTCCCCCACACCCGCCACGACCCTGGGAGACCCTCAGAAAAGCATAGGAAACGCTCCCAAGCCTCCCGACCCGAAATCAGACCCTCAAGACGACCCTCCCCATCCCGGCGTTGCCATTTCACTGTAAGCTACAGTCCTAACAGATGTTAATAAGCAGCCTGTAACCATAATTCTGTTATGTGTAACAATAATTCTGTTATGTGTAACAATAATTCTGTTAGCCTGGAATGTTTTGGACAGACAGACGGACAGACGGACATGGCTATATCAACTCAGGAAGTGATCCTGATCAAGAATATATGTACTTTATAGGGTCGGAGATGTCTTCTTCGCTGCTAAAAGAAATATTAGGATCCCCATGGGACTCATGGGACTCAATGGGCAAGTACGGACTAGGCTGTTGCAGATTTACAACAGCAGCTGTTATGCTGCCAATGACCAATTTATATTGTTTTGGTGATCCCAAAAGTATACTACATTTTACACAACTGAAAACAATCGTCTACAATTACCCCATTTTACGAAAAATTATAAAATGTATTTTTAAGCAGTAGATTTGTAGATTTGACATAACATCTAAAACCTATCATTCTAATTAGCATAAACATATACAGGGATGTAGAGGTAAAATACATATAACATAAAAATGTATGCTAGGGTAAATAAATTTGTAAGGGTTAAAAAGTACATCGGTTTTTTCATTAATTTTTTTTATGGGAATAAGGGATTTTTAATACTATTTTGTTTCGCCTTCCTTTTTTTTAATGTGACATGATAAGCGGTTAAAATAGTAGAGTAGGGCATAGCCGCTAATGGGATTGATTATATTTTGAGTCATACATATAGCCCAAGAATATCGCCCAGTGTTCAATAGTAGCTATTCTAAACAGAATTACAAAAATTTAAATTGTTGGCGTTAATAATCACGGAGTTGCTGCGACCGCGGTAGCCAGTGTTGGAGCTTGCTCCTTCTCCACTAGAACTTTGTAACTGCAAGGGTATATAAACTTCGGCTTTCCGAATTCGTTTTTGATTGTTATATTTTTGTGATCTTTCATTGGGTTTCTTTTTTTTTTTTTTCGTCAGCCTGCCTAGTTACGAACATTTTTAATCCTATTTAGGCGTTCATTTTTAATAGCCATGACAATTAATTTAATAATCATATAGGCACATGCTGCCGCCTCAAAATGTTCGGATATGACTCATGTTCGTTTTCAGGGAAATAATCGATTTGGAAAAGTACAACTTGATAAGAAGATCTTAGTTTTTTTTATAGGCATCAGTAAACATTCGAAATATACATATTCATGATCATCTAACGCAGAAGCAGTAAAGTACCGATAAGTTTTATTTTGGGAAAATTAGATTTGTAATGTATGATTAGTATTCTTTCTTTTGAGTTTTTATTTTTTTAATCATTAATTTTTAGTTTTATTTGTATTCATGGAAAAAAAAAAATTATAAGCTAAGTTCTATTAAATTACTCAAAAACAAGAAAGGAAAGCTAACTTCGGGCGGAGCCGAAGTTGATATACCCTTGCAGAATACTCTGTAAATTATATTCTCCAAAATTATTCATATGATGCATTCTTAATACTCAAAAAAAAAACCCAACTTCCTAACTTTAAAAACATCAAAGTTATGGCTTTTCCAATCGTTCAGTTATATGGCAGCTATAGGATATAGTCGCCGATCCTTATGAAATTTTGTAGGTCGGATTAATTGGCCAAATAAAAAACCCATAAAAAGTCCCAACTTCCTTACTTAACAAACAGCAGAGTTATGGCATTTCCGATCAATCAGTTATATGGCAGCTATAGGATATAGTCGGCCGATCCTTATGAAATTTGGTAAGTCGGATTGATTGGCCAAATATAAAACCCATAGAAAGTCCCAACTTCCTAACTTAACAAACAGCAGAGTTATGGCATTTCCGATCAATCAGTTATATGACAGCTATAAGATATAGTCGGCCGATCCTTATGAAATTTGGTAAGTCGGATTGATTGGCCAAATATAAAACCCATAGAAAATCCCAACTTCCTAACTTTACAAACACCAAAGTTATGGCATTTCCGATCGTTCAGTTATATGGCAGCTATAGGATATAGTCGGCCGATCCCGGCCATTCCGACTTATATACTGCGTGCAAAGGAAAGAAGGGTGTGTGCAAAGTTTCAATTCGATATCTTTAAAACTGAGAGACTAGTTCGCGTAGAAACAGACAGACGGACAGACAGACGGACAGACAGACGGACAGACGGACATGGCTATATCAACTCAGGAGGTGATCCTGATCAAGAATATATATACTTTATAGGGTCGGAGATGTCTCCTTCACTGCGTTGCACACTTTTGACCAAAATTATAATACCCTCTGCAAGGGTATAATAATGCTTTCCATTGAAGTTCTTTGTTTTTATACCCTTGCAGAGGGTATTATAATTTCAGTCAAAAGTTTGCAACGCAGTGAAGGAGACATTTCCGACCCTATAAAGTATATATATTCTTGATCAGCATCACCAGGAGAGTCGATCTAGCCATGTCCGTCTGTCCGTCCGTCTGTCCGTCTGTCCGTCCGTCTGTCCGTCTGTCCGTCCGTCCGTTTCTACGCAAACTAGTCCCTCAGTTTTAAAGCTATCTGCTTGAAACTTTCCCAAAAGTTGTCTTTCTATTGCAGGTAGTATATAAGTCAGAACGAGCCGGATCGGGCCACTATATCATATAGCTGCCATATAACTGAACGATCGGAAATGCCATAACTTTGGTGTTTTTAAAGTTAGGAAGTTGGGATTTTCTATGAGTTTTATTTTTGGCCAATTAATCCGACCTACCGAATTTCATAAGGATCGGACGACTATATCCTATAGCCGCCATATAATTGATTGATCGGAAATGCCATAACTTTGGTGTTTGTAAAGTTATCAAGTTGGGATTTTATATGGGTTTTATTTTTGGCCAATCAATCCGACCTACCAAATTTCATAAGGATCGGCCGACTATATCCTATAGCTGCCATATAACTGAACGATTGGAAATGCCATAACTTTGGTGTTTTTAAAGTTAGGAAGTTAGGACTTTTTATGAGTATTAAGAATATATGAATATATGAATAATTTTGAAGAATATAATTTACAGAATATTCTGCAAGGGTATATCAACTTCGGCTCCGTCCGAAGTTAGCTTTCCTTTCTTGTTTTTATACCCTTGCAGAGGGTATTATAATTTCAGTCAAAAGTTTGCAACGCAGTGAAGGAGACATTTCCGACCCTATAAAGTATATATATTCTTGATCAGCATCACCAGGAGAGTCGATCTAGCCATGTCCGTCTGTCCGTCCGTCTGTCCGTCTGTCCGTCTGTCCGTCCGTCTGTCCGTCTGTCCGTCCGTCCGTTTCTACGCAAACTAGTCCCTCAGTTTTAAAGCTATCTGCTTGAAACTTTCCCAAAAGTTGTCTTTCTATTGCAGGTAGTATATAAGTCGGAACGAGCCGGATCGGGCCACTATATCATATAGCTGCCATATAACTGAACGATCGGAAATGCCATAACTTTGGTGTTTTTAAAGTTAGGAAGTTGGGATTTTCTAAGAGTTTTATTTTTGGCCAATTAATCCGACCTACCGAATTTCATAAGGATCGGACGACTATATCCTATAGCCGCCATATAATTGATTGATCGGAAATGCCATAACTTTGGTGTTTGTAAAGTTAGGAAGTTGGGATTTTCTATGGGTTTTATTTTTGGCCAATCAATCCGACCTACCAAATTTCATAAGGATCGGCCGACTATATCCTATAGCTGCCATATAACTGAACGATTGGAAATGCCATAACTTTGGTGTTTTTAAAGTTAGGAAGTTAGGACTTTTTATGAGTATTAAGAATACACCATATGAATAATTTTGAAGAATATAATTTACAGAATATTCTGCAAGGGTATATCAACTTCGGCTCCGTCCGAAGTTAGCTTTCCTTTCTTGTTTAATAGTAGTTTACTTTTGAAAAAAGTGGAACTAGTACATTTATTTTGTCGCCAAACTTTGTTGTTGTTTTATAAAATGGAAAAAATCAAGCTACTCCGTGAATATTTTATTTTTATACCCTTGCAGAGGGTATTATAATTTTGGTCAAAAGTGTGCAACGCAGTGAAGGAGACATCTCCGACCCTATAAAGTATATATATTCTTGATCAGGATCACCTCCTGAGTTGATATAGCCATGTCCGTCTGTCCGTCTGTCCGTCTGTCCGTCTGTCCGTCTGTCTGTTTCTACGCAAACTAGTCTCTCAGTTTTAAAGCTATCGGATTGAAACTTTGCACACACCCTTCTTTCCTTTGCACGCAGTATATAAGTCGGAACGGCCGGGATCGGCCGACTATATCCTATAGCTGCCATATAACTGATTGATCGGAAATGCCATAACTTTGGTGTTTGTAAAGTTAGAAAGTTGGGATTTTCTATGGGTTTTATATTTGGCCAATCAATCCGACCTACCAAATTTCATAAGGATCGGCCGACTATATCCTATAGCTGCCATATAACTGATTGATCGGAAATGCCATAACTTTGGTGTTTGTAAAGTTAGAAAGTTGGGATTTTCTATGGGTTTTATATTTGGCCAATCAATCCGACCCACCAAATTTCATAAGGATCGGCCGACTATATCCTATAGCTGCCATATAACTGATTGATCGGAAATGCCATAACTTTGGTGTTTGTTAAGTTAGGAAGTTGGGATTTTCTATGGATTTTATTTTTGGCCAATCAATCCGACCTACCAAATTTCATAAGGATCGGCCGACTATATCCTATAGCTGCCATATAACCGATTGATCGGAAATGCCATAACTTTGGTGTTTGTAAAGTTAGGAATTTGGGATTTTCTGTGGGTGTTATATTTGGCCAATCAATCCGACCTACCAAATTTCATAAGAATCGGCGGACTATATCCTATAGCTACCATATAACTGAACGATTGGAAATGCCATAACTTTGTTGTTGTTAAAGCTAGGAAGTTCGGATTTTTTATGAGTATTAAGAATGCATCATATGAATAATTTTGGAGAATATAATTTACAGAGTATTCTGCAAGGGTATATCAACTTCGGCTCCGCCCGAAGTTAGCTTTCCTTTCTTGTTGCATGTGTTCCTTCTTGACCGGTGGAATGCTTCCCAGAACCCCAGAGGTGGAAATGGGGAAGGAACCTGGCTTGAATGCCATCCCAGTTCTCCCGCTGAAAGGATAAGCACGGGGTCGAGGTCCAGGAGTTGAAGCCACCACTGGGGAGTTGGAACTGATGCCTGGAAGAGTCCAATGGGAGCCACCGGGCCGAGACTTGGAACGTGGAGCTTTTACCCCTTCTGAAAATTAATATAAATAATCTCCTTTTAATAGTTTATACATTTATTGGTGACTCGTTTTTTTTTATTATTAGTTGCGGCTCAAATGGATAGATCTATTTGAATCTCGTGTCCACAGAATTGAAATAAATTAGTTATAGCTTTCCGGTTGCCAATGACACTGCGTTCTTGATTGAGAAATGATTGGAGTGGAGATGGGCGTTCAGTGGAGACAGTAGGCCACAATCAGGGTCACCACAGTGGAGATGAGGCTGACGTGTCCGAAGGTTGGCCCAGCCACACTGTGTGCATCCGGCTGACTGCCGGGGATTATTGGAGCCAACGGCACAGATCCCTCTGGAATGGTTAAGGGCTTTCTGGCCCCGGAGGGAGGTAGTTGGACCGCTCCTGGGCCAGAAATCGGAGCGGGCACTGGCCCCTCAACGGATGCGATTCCATTGGCCGGAGGAGCAGTTTCTGGCGGTGGTGCTGGAGAAAAGGCAATCTGGTCCACCTCGGTCGTCTTGGTGAGATCCTTGGGATCTGGTTGTGGTACTTTCACGGGGCCAACTGGAGATCCAGGGGCAATTGGAGTTTCAGGGCCAACTGGTATTCCAGGGCCAACTGGAGTTCCAGTTCCAGGGATAGGAGCCGGAGGATCAGACGGGGCTGGTGGGGAAGGACCCAAAGGCGCTAATGGCACAGCTTCTGGAACTGGTGAAACGGGAAGAGCTTGGAAGGCAGGAGGCAGCGAGGGATTATCCACTGCCTGGGTTCCTCCAGTATTTAACACCGTAGTGCCAGACCCCACATCACTGGTGGTCACAGATCCAGGTGGACCACCACCTCCTTCACCGCCGGATTTGGAATTCGAATTGTGGACCATTTGGACATCGGTTTGGTTGGGAGTGAGGTCGAAGTGTGCAGGTGGCGCATCGTAGGAAGGGGGGTGGTAGGAAGGAGCTGAATGGGATGGGGATGAGCTCCTGGATCTGCTGCCGTTACTGGACTTCCACTTGGCATCCACATCCTCGGTGGTTAGCGTCAATACTAGGAGCACTACCACTAACAGGGTACCACTGAGCCTCCTCGGGTAAAGGGACATTCTGATAGTTGGTCCAGTTAGTCACTGTGATATCAAGGCGATTTTTGCCTTTGTTTCGTGCAAAGTTTCTCGAACAACTGAACAAAAATCGCTCGAGTTTTGCGTTTTAATCTGGAGCGGACTGCAAGCAGAGAAGCGGCAGATCAGCAAATGTGCCCTAGGCAACAAAAAATTGATACACTTCCCCAAAATAAAATTATTGATTTGAGATTTACGTGGTACAAAAATAGCCAATAAATGAAAGTGCTGACATTAAAACGAAATTTAATTATGTTAAACACTTAATGGTTTTATTATACCCTTGCAGAGGGTATTATAATTTTGGTCCAAAGTGTGCAACGCAGTGAAGGAGACATCTCCGACCCTATAAAGTATATATATTCTTGATCAGGATCACCTCCTGAGTTGATATAGCCATGTCCGTCTGTCCGTCTGTCCGTCTGTCTGTTTCTACGCAAACTAGTCTCTCAGTTTTAAAGCTATCGAATTGAATCTTTGCACACACCCTTCTTTCCTTTGCACGCAGTATATATGTCGGAACGGCCGGGATCGGCCGACTACATCCTATAGCCGCCATATAACTGATTGATCGGAAATGCCATAACTTTGGTGTTTGTTAAGTTAGGATGTTGGGATTGTCTATGGGTTTTATATTTGGCCAATCAATCCGACCTACCAAATTTCATAAGGATCGGCCGACTATATCCAATAGCTGCCATATAACTGATTGATCGGAAATGCCATAACTTTGGTGTTTGTAAAGTTAGGAAGCTGGGATTTTTTATGGGTTTTATATTTGGCCAATCAATCCGACCTACCAAATTTCATAAGGATCGGCCGACTATATCCTATAGCTGCCATATAACTGATTGATCGGAAATGCCATAACTTTGGTGTTTGTAAAGTTAGGAAGCTGGGATTTTTTATGAGTATTAAGAATGCATCATATGAGTAATTTTGGAGAATATAATTTACAGAGTATTCTGCAAGGGTATATCAACTTCGGCTCCGCCCGAAGTTAGCTTTCCTTTCTTGTTATTTATGATATTATTTCAAAGTGACATGATAAGCGGTTCAAATAGTAGAATGGAGTATAACAGTAAAAGGTAATATTTATTTTTTGTTTATTTAAAAAGTAAAATATATAAAATTTCAACTAACTTTTTCAAGCTCGATGTAACAGCTCGCAACAAACACGGAAATTCATAACCCTTTTACTTCTTTTAAAAAAAACATAAGTAAGCGCGTTTTAATAGTTTTAGGCATTTATTGTTGGCTTCGTTTGAGGTCTAGCAGAACTCCGAGTAGAAATATGTAAAAATATATTGTTTTCGGATTTATAAATCTATTTTAATCTCGTATTCCGCAGAAAGGCAATAAATTAGTTAAAGCTTTCTGGTTGTCATTGGACTCGATTGAGATAATGATTGTGAAGAGGTGGGCGTTCGGTGGAGACAGAAGGTTACAATCAGGGTCACCACAGTGGAGATGAGGCTGAAGTGTAAGAAGGTTGGCGCAGCCACATTGTGTGCATCAGCGGACAGGCTAGCCTGGGTGGGTCCTGGCATCTTCATGACATCCGGCTGACTGACCGCTCCGGGGCCAGAAATCGGAGCGGGCACAGGCCACTCAGCGGGTGCGGTTCCATTGGCCGGAGGAGCAGTTTCCGGCGGTGTTGCTGGATAGCAGGCGACCTCGATCGTCTTGGTGGGATTCTTCGGATCTGGTTGTGGTACTTTCAGGGGCACACAAATAAGCTGTCCAGTAGGTGGGGCATTGGGATCAGCTGGATTCGGGACAGCGGGTGCAATTGGAGTTTTAGGGGTAACTGAAGTTCCAGGGTCAATTAGAGTCTCGGGGGCTACTGGAGTTTCAGGGGCAACAGCTCCTGGAACTGGTGGAACAGGAAGAGCTTGGACACCAGGCGCAGGAGGAGCCGCGTAAACGGGCGGCACTGGCAGCGAGGGATTAGCCGCTGCCTGGGTTCCTCCAGTATTTATCACCGTAGTGCCAGACCCAACATCACTGGTGGTCACAGATCCAGGTGGACCGTTGTTGACAATTATGATCTTGTCGTCGCCGCCGCCGCCGCCACCACCTCCTCCACCGCCGGACGATAAAATCTTCATTAGAGTGCGGGCGTGACCCAGGACATCCAAGGCTGTAGAATTGATAACAGTGACTGTAAAAAATGCAGAATACAAGTCAGTAAAGATAATATTAATTCAAATGTGCATTTAAACTCACCCAATCCCAAGCCTGATGAGGACTTTTGCGGCGCCTGCGGATAGCTGGACTGCACTTTGTGGGCATTGGTGTCCATAATGGGCTGATAGTCATCCGATGATTCATATCCTCCCGCCGGGTAGCTAGGTAGTGTCGGCTTGAAGGTCGGATTGCCGGAAGGGAGACTTCTGGGTCTGGGCTGCGCGGTTGGACGAGTTTGGTTCTGGGGGCCCGTGTAGCTAAGTAGTATCGGATTGAAGGTCGGTTGGGAACTACTGGGTCTGGGCCGCGCGGTTGGACGAATTTGGCTTTGGGTGCCCGGTTTGAAGGTCGGATTGCTGGAGGGGAGTCTTCTGGGTCTGGGTCTGGGACTGGGTCTGGGCTTCCTCACTGGAGTTGAACAGATAGTGTTTTTGGGGTAGGGACGGGTTCTTCCGCGGTTTCTGCCGCCAGTAGTGAGCCTCCGCCTGGCATGCACATCCTCGATGGTTAGCGTCAATACTAGGAGCACTACCACCAACAGGCAGCCACTGAGCCGCCTCGGGGAAATGATCATTCTGGAATGGGTTCAATGCTCATTTACTCACAACGTTCGGATTGCTTGCATTTGTATTGTTTTTTAAGACTTATTTGCGACTCTGCTTAACCATGATCTATTGTAAGCTTTACACAAACATCAAGTTACAAACATAGTATAAAATATATTAAATGAAGCACGCAAAACACCATCGTCTTTAAATTAAATTGTTGTAACGCTAATTTATATGATATTTACGTTAGTTTGCTGTGATTTCCGTCGTTTGCTGTTTTTCAGCTTGCGATTTTCAGATTTGTTTCGGGTAAGGATCCTCGAACAACTGAGGTGAAATACAAAATAGCTCGCCTTTAACGTGTTCTTCTGGAGCGGAATGCGGCGAGCAGAGCAGCGGCAGCGGCAGCGGCTGAGAAGAGCAGCAAATAAGGGATCGAAAGCAACATGTTGCCATTGGACAGTGGTCAGTATACGTAAAAAATTGATACAATCACAAACTAAATTTCTTGACTTAAGATTTTATTTTTTGTTAAATATAACTGTTTTTATTTCATAAGAAAATGAATGAATTGTTTAAAATAAAAATAAAAGGTGAAATAACAATTTTTATACCCGTTACTCGTAGAGTAAAAGGGTATATATTATATTCGTGCAAAAGTATGTAACAGCTAGAAGGAAGCGTTTCCGACCCTATAAAGTATATATATCCTTGATCAGGGTCACTAGCCGAGTCGATATAGCCATGTCCGTCTGTCCGTCTGTCCGTCTGTCTGTCCGTCTGTCTGTCTGTCCGTATGAACGCTGAGATCTCGGAAACTATAAAAGCTAGAAGATTGGCATTTTGCATGCAGATTCTAGGAGTTCCTACGCAGCGCAAGTTTGTTTCAAAAAGGTGCCACGCCCCCTTTAACGCCCACAATCGCTTATATACGATTTTAAAAATTTAAATATTTCGGAAAAGTAAAAATGCAGTTTTATTGTGTTTATCAATACCTATCGAAATGTAGAAGAAATTTTTCAAATCGGACCATTCGTTAAAAAGTTATGCGTGATCAAAGTTTCTATCTCCATCTCCCTCGCACTCCCTTTACCTGAGTAACGGGTATCTGATAGTCGGGGCACCCGACTATAGCGTTCTCTCTTGTTCATATTTAAATTGTAATTATTTAGTGTAACCGACCACTGCCTTCCGTTGTTCTCTCTTAATTTTTGATGTTTCTGATGTTGCTTTATTTTATCTTGGACTCTTTAAAATCCTACTTGCTAGAATTAGAAGTGCTTACACTTAGAATTTGCGTGAGATAATTTAATAACTAAACTGAATAAGTCCAACAGAAACATTTTTTGTAATTTGATATTAAAATAACAAGGGTTTCAAGAAAAATGCCTAATAAATTTTTTTTCTTTCAGCAAAACTCAATTTAATTATGATTTCAACATAGGATTTCGAAAATATGTCATTAGCTACAACTAATGCATTCGATATATTATTTCATGGGACTTTCGGGATTTACGCAAGCAATGGGTTTCCCAGTGCATTTATTCTGTATCCCACATTTTGGTAGAAACACATGTACTTTTTCTATACCTGAAAAACGCCCTGTATGCGCAAGGATATCCTAAGTGATTTTAAAGTGGAAAGTGTCTTGATGGAAGAGAGGGAGATAGGGACAGAGAAAGTATCTGTTAAAAATATTTGAGTATTTAAACAAGATAGGAAATTTGTTGATTCAGGCAAATTATTTGTAGAATATAAAAGTGCATATTAATAATTTCTCGCTTCCTCACTTTAAGTTGAACGAATATAAAATTATATATATGAGGAGATTAAGGGGGAACCTGCCTTAGAAGCTTTAAAAATTCGATTTTCCGATGACTTTTTTGGGAAGGAAAGAAATTTTTGATTGAAAATAAACTTTCAGGATTTATTGGTATATATTTCAATTTCAATATATATTATGCCTGGTTCAAGCATATCGAGGTGCCTCGAGTGTGTTCTATTTTCAAGTGCAAAGCTAGGTAGCCCAAAAAAAAAAAAATCAAAAAGTGAAAAATTGAAAAAATGTATCGCAAATAAAAAAACAATTATTATTTTGAAAAAAAAATCACTTCAGATTGTTGCAAAAGTGGGTTAATCATAACTGTTTTAAGGCTTTTTAGGTTCAACTAGAAGAGAATTTAATCCCGTATCCAATAAATGTTGGCTCGTTTTGATAGGACGTTTAATTTTTCCCCTATCTTTCCCGCCAGTTAGGAGTAATCGTAAAAATGAAAAACCGATAAATCGCACGTCAAAGTTTTTGTATATAAAATATCGTACCGCTTGCTCACTATTTCTTCTGTAACTTTAAAAATATTTCTAATTAGTAAAATAAATTAAAAGTTTAAATTATAAATGAACAACTTTTTAAATGTTAATCTGTTTAAAACCGCACTTCCTGTTCAAAGATGCTTTTTTACATTACACGATTTCTACATTATTTGACAAGTTTTTCCGCAAGAGGGCGAGAATGGGAGAGAGGGAATATGCGACTTTACTTTAAGCTGCAGTTGTATTCATGTATTCAGTCTTGTATGTGTATTGTAAGCATACAATTTTCATCAACGACCATTAAATGTAATTAATTTATTTATAACCAACAAAATTGGCATACATTTTCGACCACATGCTTATCGTTTTTATTATACAAACTAAATAACAGTAAAAAATCAAGCTCTTTCGTGACGATTTTATTTTTGCATGCGTTGCTTCTTCACCGGTGGAATGCTTCAGAGAACCCCAGTGGTGGAAATCGGGGAGGAACCTGGGTTGAATGCCATCCCAGGTCTCCCGCTGAAAGCCCTAGAAGTTGAATGGGCCCTGGCTGGAGGATGAGCACGGGGTCGAGCTCCAGGAGTTGTGGCCACCACTGGGGAGGTGGAACTGATGCCTGGAAGAGTCGAATGGGAGCCACCGGGCCGAGAGTTGAAACGTAGAGCGGGACACCGGACAGGTGCCACCGGATTGGGGGCAGTCTGATCCTCGGGTTCGGCTGGGGCTCAGTGCCCTTGCCCTTCAGCTCGGCCGTCATGCCCACCTGGCAGTGGCGGAAGGTGGGCAGCAATAGACCGTGGTTCAGACCCGGCGTGGGCAGAGATGCCTGGCCGGGAAGCAGGGACTTCAGCGACTGCTGGCGGGGTCTCCTCCTGAGCTCCACGGTCCGCTCCAGGTCCGCCATCTCCAGATCCTCGACACTCACGTTGGAGCGGTTCGCCAGCTTGGCGAAGCGTTGGGCCTCGACCAGTTTGTCCCTTGCCAAAGCTGAACCAGCCACTTATTTGTATGAGCACATATGTTTGGATGAGGGTTTCAACTCACTGTAAGCCAGATCTAGGATCACACCACGAGCCTGTGGCTCCGCCTCCAATCGAAGGTCCTTCAACAGACTGTCCACGAACTCCAGATCAGAACGGATATCCAATTCGCGTTCGCTAAACTTCTATTCCGTTTTTTTGACAGCTTAACTGAAATGACAAAATTTTCAAATGCAAATTTAATGGGGCTAAAGGGGTTGTTTCATGTAAGCTGTAATTTTAATTAGCTGCCATTAAAAATATGGCAAAATGCAGCTCAAAATCGACATGTGTAACTGAATTGTTTTTAATAATGTAGGCATAGAAATCGAAATTTAGTCGTTTTGTAATAACTGCAGGGGTATAAAAACATCGGCTTGCCATTCTTGTTCATTTTAAAAATCAGAAATTACCCGAAGGTATTGGTAAAAATTGCGGTGAAAGTACACAAACTATACTTGGTAAACTGTGAATTTCTTTTCAAAATTTCCAATTCAGTTTTGTGACGAATAATGATTATATTTTCGTGTTTACAAATACATTTTGTACAATTTTCGTCATTGAAATAATTAAACTAAATTCATAAACCATTTTGAAAAATAACATTAATAACTGTGTTTTAATATTTTAATATAGTACATTTATTGGTTTGAAGTCTAAATATGAGTACATGTAAAAAAATTCGTTTCGAGGAATAGATTGTGCGGATATGGGCATTTAGTTGAGAGAGTAGGCTACAATCAGGGCTTTGAAGGGAGCTAGTTAGTCCCATCCAATGGCCGAAGGATCAGTTTCCGCCGTTGATTCTTGATAGCAGGCGCTCTGGTCCACCTCGATCGTCTTGGTGGGATCCTTCGGATCTGGTTGTGGTACTTTCACGACCACACAAATACTCTGTCCAGCGGGCGGGGCACTGGGGTCCGCTGGATAGAGGTCATCCGGATCAACTACAGGTTCAGCTTCAACTGGAGTTTCAGGGTCAACTGGAGGTTCAGGGGCAAGAGCCGAAGGATCAGAGGGCACAGCTTCTGGAACTGGTGCAACAAGATCTTCCTGGAAGTCAGAAGCAGGAGGAGATGCAAAAACAGGTGGGACTGCTCCGTTGTCGATAATGGTGATCTCGTCGTCGCCGCCTTTCTCTCTGCCATTACCTCCATTACTGCCGAAAAAGGAATTCAAATGGTCCACCATGCTGGTTTTGTTTGGAGTGATGGCACCTAGGGTGGCACCACCCACGGCTCCAGCAATGAGACCAGTGCCTGTAAACAATACAGAATACAAGTCAGCAAAGATAATCCTTATTCAGAAGTGGACTTAAACTCACCCAATCCCAAGCCTGATCTAGATTTTTGAGGCGCCTGTGGATGGAAAACAGCTCCTGCGGGCAGGGCTCCTCCGGCGGGCAGGAAGGTGGCGCCTGACGGGACTCCTCCGGCCACGGGTCCCTGGGGATAGTATGAGCCTCCGGCCGGATGGCTGCCGGGGTTAAAAGTGGCTCCATGTGGCACCTGGCCAGCCGTTTGGTACGACGCTCCGGCCGGAATCTGAGCAGCCGGATGGAAGGTGGCTCCGGCTGGAATCTGACCAGGCGGATGGTAGGTGGCTCCGGCCGGGATCTGCCCCGCCGGATGGTATGTGGCTCCAGCTGGAATCTGCCCCGCCGGGTGGTAGGTGGCTCCGGGTGGCAACTGCTCGCGCGGATAGCTCGACTGCACTTTGTGGGCATTGGTGGCCTTAATGGGCTGATAGCCACCCGACGATCCATATTTTCCCGTGGAGTTGTTGCGACCGCGGTGGCCAGTGTTGGAGTGTGCTGCGCCGTAGTGGGAACCTCTGGAACTGGGACTGGCCCCCGCGGCTGGACGGGATGGGCTATGAATATTTGGCCTGCCGTTCTTGTGGGTGGGCGGGGTGTAGAATGGTGGAGGTTTTTTTTCCTTAGGGGAGGAGACTGGCGGAGGTCCTTGGGGCTGGGCCGGGGCATTCCGGCCAAATGGCGAGGTGGTTACCGAGGGCACCGTCTGCGGATTGAACACCTTGCTCTCCTTTCCACCTCCGTAGCTCAGCCTCTCGTTGTCCGACTTCGAGCGGTGGGCAGGAACTGAGTGGTGCGTAGGACCAGCATGGTTCGAAGGAGCTGAGCGGTGCGAAGGAGCCAAATAGGAGCGCGGGGGAGCTTTGGTGGTGCGCGGAGTGGTCTTTCTGCTGGAAGTGGACCTGGAGCTGCCGCGGCTGTTGGAATTCCTCTTGGCATGCACATCCTCGGTGGTTAGCGCCAATAATATGAGCGCTACCACCAACACGAAGGTACTGAGCCGCCTCGTATAAAGGAACATTCTGGAATGGGTTATACGCTCAGTTAGTTACAACGTTCGGATTGCTTGCATAAACCTAATAAAAAAATTAAGTAACGATACACATTTTTGGTAAAAAAAAACAAATTTAAAACATTTTAAATCACTCAAAACGTCCTTGTTCTTAAATATAATAAATGTAACGCTAATTTGTATGATATTTACTTTGATTTGCTGTGTATTCCATGGTTTGATGTTTTGCAGATTGCGATTTTCACTTTTGTTTCGCGCAAGGATTCTCGAAAAACTGATCTGAAGTAAAAGATCGCTCGCTTTTTAAGTGTTTTTGCAGAGCAGCGCAGATCGGCGGCAGAGCAGCGACTGAGGAAGCACAGACAAACTGTCGCCATGTGGAAGTGGTCAGTATACTAAAAAAAATACACTGCAACAATCTAAGTTTATTAATTTGATATACAACTTAATCTAATAATGTTACATTTTTCTCTACATTTGTAAATATAGTTCTATTTATTTCGTAAGATGATATATTATTCATAAATATAAATAAAAGGTTAAATAGCTGTATTTAAATTGTAATAATAGGCCGCAGATAAAAGGCAATTTGCTAGAAATACAGACTAAACTTTAGCTATAGATCATTTTTTTCTGTGCTCTGCCTTCAACCGTTTTCTCTTTGTATTTGATTTCAAGCAAAAACACCTCCTAACGAAGTAAAAAAGTCGTGACGATCGCATTTTCAAAACACAAAACGTTGATATCAAAGTTTTGTGACGAAAACTAAGTAAGCACTAAGTAACTACACGTCCTAAAGTTTTCTGCTTTAATGGTTTTGACTACACAGGGTTTTTTTGTTGCACCGTGCACCCGAAATTATGCATACTCTTTTCGCAAGAAAAGTGACAAGATGTTTGTGCAAATTCTACAGGTCCAAATGATATATTATATAATTATAAAGTATTTTTTTTTGCTTTTATTTTTTTATGCTACATTAATAAATCAAGAAGACCACATGTACACATATAATGTACATTCATTGTATATGCCGGATATGCCACATAAATATAAACATTTTTTTTCTAAATTCTTTTTCACTTTTAACTAATTGTCTCTATTAGAGTGTAATCAAATCTTAAACTTAATTTATACAATAATTATACATTTATACTAAAATATTTATTCGTCATCACTCATTCTATCAACCGATCTTTCAAGTTGCGTGTAAGAGGAGATGGGGAGGGTTTGGGAGCCGACAGCATCTGTATCTATTGTATATACTTAAATGATGGATTTTTAAATTCACTTTACCAGGAAATTCTGAACTTTAATTGAGAACTCAAATACTCTTACTCTTACTGACAGACACGGACGACTTCTATAACCACACATCGTGATTCACTATGACCGGATATCCGTACACATAATTTGCTCAAGAATGGCGCACCTGCTACTCGCATTCTTGGGATCATTAGAATTCTTTTGAAAATACACGAAGACAAGGTTCATTCTTGAGTGGCGTTTTCAATAAATATATATGTATTAAAAAATTAGTTTCAAACGTCTTTGGACTTTTCTGAAAATTTATCCAAGACATTTCCCGTTTACTTCAAAATGATAGAAAGTAAGAGTCAGGTTTTCTAATGATATATTTTAATCATTGTAGCGGCGCCTGAAGAACGTTTTTTTGGTTCATTCTAAATGTATGCTTTATCGGACGGATGCTGTAAGTTCACACTTGGAGACTAGTCAGGTGCATCCCATATGATTAGCAGTAATTAGTGTTTTTGGAAAATACCATCTGAGCCAGGGAGGCTCCGGAAAGCTGCAAGTTTTAAACATGGTTTTACACCAGCTGCACGGCATTTCCGTTTACAGCCTAAGTCATCCGTTTCCGATGCCGGTCTATTTCTTTTCGATGTCTTTTAAAAAAGAATTCAATTTTGTGAAAGCCACGTGCAGGGCATATAAATATTGATCGAAAATATCTGTGAAAAATATAAACGCAACTCTCGGCGGCTGCCTGGCTGGAGGAAAATAAAAAGGTATTTCTGGATTTTTTCCGAATTTGGCCGGCAGCACCCTCACCATTTCTTCAGCAGGTTGGTTAAAATTATTAAATCCCATTTTTATCTGGTGCTGACCCCGATCATTGTGAATTCTTTAGATTGTGCCCGCGAGAGCAGTAAATAAGTCGATGTCCCCGGGAGCAGCATAAATATGTGTGCATAAACCAAACCTAACGCCATCGGCGCACCTACATATGTGCATGCGCATGCAACAACAACAGGTAGGTACCTATAAGCATCAGTTTCGCCGGAAAAGTTTAATGGAAAATCCGTCAACTTAAGCAGTTTTTTTTTGGGGACTTCAGCCAAACTACCGCCAGCGGCACACATAATAACCCCGTGGGGGTTATAGAAAAATAATCATCCCAAATCATGTACAACGCCCAGAAAGTTGTATAAACCGCAGTGCGACTCGGGATGGTTTAAACGTGTGTGATTGTGTAATGGTTTTGGCCGCCCCAACAACGCGTGCAGTGTTATCCTCTGTCCGGCTGACCTCTACCGCCTAACCTCATGCGCGCAGTGCATTTACCGTCGTTCGCTAACCATCTGCTGTTGTCGGCCTCATGTTTCGGCCTTCCTAGAAAAACTGCGTTCGATACGATTTTGTTCTAAAACCAAGCTAAAGATGTAAAAAGACTTCTGATCAAAAAAAAAATCGAAACTTAATTTAACATAAATTGAAACCAAATCAATTCGGCTTTATTTGCCTCATTTTTCTAGAAATAATTTCATCATCCAGATCAACCTAGCTATAACAATTATTAGAATAATTTTCTTAAAATCTATTATTATTTAAATGTTAAATTTCTGATGGTGACACGCGTTTAAAATATCGGGTAAAAATGGGCCAAAAGTTTATCTAAAACCGTTTCTCTAAAATTACCGTGTGAAAGTGAGTTATTCCAAAAATATGGGGTGTTAGAAAACATCCTAGAATCTTTAGCGGATGGATAAGTTGCCGTGAGTTTCTTTTACAACATTTAATTACCTTCACACCTTTTTTTTTAAAACACTAATTTTTTTTAAAACTAATTATTAAAATTTTACCCCGATTATTGTTAACGTAACTCCAAGCGCTGTGCTTGCACATATTGCAGCAGCTCTCTTTGGAAAGAAAAAATAAATTTTTTTGGTAAATTTTAAATAAACTACATGAAATTTAATTAGTGAAAATTATAACTAAAAATAAGTGGCCTAAGCTAAAACATTTGCTATTAATTACTATTTAAGAGCATTTTTGAATGAGAAAAATAAGACACCCATTGAAGTAAAAATGAAATTAAATTCTAAATTTATCCCGAATTATTATTGAAATTTCCATGCTTATATAATACAACTATATTTACCCATACATTCAAATTTTATTTTTACTATTTACTTTATTATAAATTTTGTATTAATATTTACCTTTATTACCTTTATTTACCTTTTGTAAATATGTTTACATACACCTTGTTCCTAAAATTTTGTGAATTATCTGAATTAAAATGATAGCTTAAACATAACTCTACTGAACTCAGCTGATGTCTCGACGAACATAGGGTATAAAAGGGACGGATGTTAATATATATATTTATATTTTTAGTGAATTTGGTTTGATCAGAGTGAATTATTTAAGTTTGTGATCTATATATACTGCAATCTAATGCTATTTTGCCCCTGGTACTCACCCAGTCCCCTGTTCATTCCCACAGGTGGTTGGGCGTAGTAGACAGATCCTGCGGATCTGTAAAGTAAACAAGAGAGGAAAGCTAACTTCGGGGGGAGCCGAAGTTGATATACCCTTGCAGAATACTCTGTAAATTATATTCTCCAAAATTATTCATATGATGCATTCTTAATACTCATAAAAAATCCCAACTTCCTAACTTTAAAAACACCAAAGTTATTGCATTTCCAATCGTTCAGTTGTATGGCAGCTATAGTATATAGTCGGCCGATCCTTATGAAATTTGATAGGTCGGATTGTTTGTCCAAAAATAAAACCCATAGAAAATCCCAACTTCCTAACTTAACAAACACCAAAGTTATGGCATTTCCGATCAATCAGATATATGGCACCTATAGGATATAGTCGTTCCGTTCCGACATATATACTGCGTGCAAAGGAAAGAAGGCTGTGTGCAAAGTTTCAATTCGATAGCTTTAAAACTGAGAGACTAGTTTGCGTAGAAACAGACAGACGGACAGATCAACTCAGGAGGTGATCAAGAATATATATACTTTATAGGGTCGGAGATGTCTCCTTCACTGCGTTGCACACTTTTGACCAAAATTATGATACCCTCTGCAAGGGTATAAAAATTGTGGTGAAAGTACAACAAATTATACTTGGTAAACTGTGAATTTCTTTTCAAAATTTTCAATTCAGTTTTGTGACGAATAATGAGTATATTTTCGTGTTTACAAATACATTTTGTACAATTTTCGTCACTGAAATAATGAAACTAAATTCATAAACCATTTTGAAAATTAACATTAATAACTGTGTTTTAATAGTTTAATATAGTACATTTATTGGTTTGAAGTCTAGCAGAAATATGAGTACATATAAAAAAATTCGTTTCAAGGAATAGATTGTGTTGATATGGGCATTTAGTTGAGACAGTAGGCTACAATCAGGGCTTTGAAGGGAGCTAGTTAGTCCCATCCAATGGCCGAAGGATCAGTTTCCGCCGTTGATTCTTGATAGCAGGCGCTCTTGTCCACCTCGATCGTCTTGGTGGGATCCTTCGGATCTGGTTGTGGTACTTTCACGACCACACAAATACTCTGTCCAGCGGGCGGGGCACTGGGGTCAGCAGAGGCGTCAGGTGCAGAATAAACTGGGTAACTGGGATCCGCTGGATAGAGGTCATCCGGATCAACTACAGGTTCAGCTTCAACTGGAGTTTCAGGGTCAACTGGAGGTTCAGGGGCAAGAGCCGAAGGATCAGAGGGCACAGCTTCTGGAACTGGTGCAACAAGATCTTCCTGGAAGTCAGAAGCAGGAGGAGATGCAAAAACAGGTGGGACTGCTCCGTTGTCGATAATGGTGATCTCGTCGTCGCCGCCTTTCTCTCTGCCATTACCTCCATTACTGCCGAAAAAGGAATTCAAATGGTCCACCATGCTGGTTTTGTTTGGAGTGATGGCACCTAGGGTGGCACCACCCACGGCTCCAGCAATGAGACCAGTGCCTGTAAACAATACAGAATACAAGTCAGCAAAGATAATCCTTATTCAGAAGTGGACTTAAACTCACCCAATCCCAAGCCTGATCTAGATTTTTGAGGCGCCTGTGGATGGAAAACAGCTCCTGCGGGCAGGGCTCCTCCGGCGGGCAGGAAGGTGGCGCCTGACGGGACTCCTCCGGCCACGGGTCCCTGGGGATAGTATGAGCCTCCGGCCGGATGGCTGCCGGGGTTAAAAGTGGCTCCATGTGGCACCTGGCCAGCCGTTTGGTACGACGCTCCGGCCGGAATCTGAGCAGCCGGATGGAAGGTGGCTCCGGCTGGAATCTGACCAGGCGGATGGTAGGTGGCTCCGGCCGGGATCTGCCCCGCCGGATGGTATGTGGCTCCAGCTGGAATCTGCCCCGCCGGGTGGTAGGTGGCTCCGGGTGGCAACTGCTCGCGCGGATAGCTCGACTGCACTTTGTGGGCATTGGTGGCCTTAATGGGCTGATAGCCACCCGACGATCCATATTTTCCCGTGGAGTTGTTGCGACCGCGGTGGCCAGTGTTGGAGTGTGCTGCGCCGTAGTGGGAACCTCTGGAACTGGGACTGGCCCCCGCGGCTGGACGGGATGGGCTATGAATATTTGGCCTGCCGTTCTTGTGGGTGGGCGGGGTGTAGAATGGTGGAGGTTTTTTTTCCTTAGGGGAGGAGACTGGCGGAGGTCCTTGGGGCTGGGCCGGGGCATTCCGGCCAAATGGCGAGGTGGTTACCGAGGGCACCGTCTGCGGATTGAACACCTTGCTCTCCTTTCCACCTCCGTAGCTCAGCCTCTCGTTGTCCGACTTCGAGCGGTGGGCAGGAACTGAGTGGTGCGCAGGACCAGCATGGTTCGAAGGAGCTGAGCGGTGCGAAGGAGCCAAATAGGAGCCCGGGGGAGCTTTGGTGGTGCGCGGAGTGGTCTTTCTGCTGGAAGTGGACCTGGAGCTGCCGCTGCTTTTGGAATTCCTCTTGGCATGCACATCCTCGGTGGTTAGCGCCAATAATATGAGCGCTACCACCAACACGAAGGTACTGAGCCGCCTCGTATAAAGGAACATTCTGGAATGGGTTATACGCTCAGTTAGTTACAACGTTCGGATTGCTTGCATAAACCTAATAAAAAAATTAAGTAACGATACACATTTTTGGTAAAAAAAACAAATTTAAAACATTTTAAATCACTCAAAACGTCCTTGTTCTTAAATGTAATAAATGTAACGCTAATTTGTATGATATTTACTTTGATTTGCTGTGTATTCCGTGGTTTGATGTTTTGCAGGTTGCGATTTTCACTTTTGTTTCGCGCAAGGATTCTCGAAAAACTGATCTGAAGTAAAAGATCGCTCGCTTTTTAAGTGTTTTTGCAGAGCAGCGCAGATCGGCGGCAGAGCAGCGACTGAGGAAGCACAGACAAACTGTCGCCATGTGGAAGTGGTCAGTATACTAAAAAAAATACACTTCAACAATCTAAGTTAATTAATTTGATATACAACTTAATCTAATAATGTTACATTTTTCTCTACATTTGTAAATATAGTTCTATTTATTTCGTAAGATGATATATTATTCATAAATATAAATAAAAGGTTAAATAGCTGTATTTAAATTGTAATAATAGGCCGCAGATAAAAGGCAATTTGCTAGAAATACAGACTAAACTTTAGCTATAGATCATTTTTTTCTGTGCTCTGCCTTCAACCGTTTTCTCTTTGTATTTGATTTCAAGCAAAAACACCTCCTAACGAAGTAAAAAAGTCGTGACGATCGCATTTTCAAAACACAAAACGTTGATATCAAAGTTTTGTGACGAAAACTAAGTAAGCACTAAGTAACTACACGTCCTAAAGTTTTCTGCTTTAATGGTTTTGACTACACAGGGTTTTTTGTTGCACCGTGCACCCGAAATTATGCATACTCTTTTCGCAAGAAAAGTGACAAGATGTTTGTGCAAATTCTACAGGTCCAAATGATATATTATATAATTATAAAGTATTTTTTTTTGCTTTTATTTTTTTATGCTACATTAATAAATCAAGAAGACCACATGTACACATATAATGTACATTCATTGTATATGCCGGATATGCCACATAAATATAAACATTTTTTTTCTAAATTCTTTTTCACTTTTAACTAATTGTCTCTATTAGAGTGTAATCAAATCTTAAACTTAATTTATACAATAATTATACATTTATACTAAAATATTTATTCGTCATCACTCATTCTATCAACCGATCTTTCAAGTTGCGTGTAAGAGGAGATGGGGAGGGTTTGGGAGCCGACAGCATCTGTATCTATTGTATATACTTAAATGATGGATTTTTAAATTCACTTTACCAGGAAATTCTGAACTTTAATTGAGAACTCAAATACTCTTACTCTTACTGACAGACACGGGCGACTTCTATAACCACACATCGTGATTCACTATGACCGGATATCGTGATTCACTATGACCGGATATCCGTACACATAATTTGCTCAAGAATGGCGCACCCGCTACTCGCATTCTTGGGATCATTAGAATTCTTTTGAAAATACACGAAGACAAGGTTCATTCTTGAGTGGCGTTTTCAATAAATATATATGTATTAAAAAATTAGTTTCAAACGTCTTTGGACATTTCTGAAAATTTATCCAAGACATTTCCCGTTTACTTCAAAATGATAGATGACAAAGTAAGAGTCAGGTTTTCTAATGATATATTTTAATCATTGTAGCGGCGCCTGAAGAACGTTTTTTTTGGGTCATTCTAAATGTATGCTTTATCGGACGGATGCTGTAAGTTCACACTTGGAGACTAGTCAGGTGCATCCCATATGATTAGCAGTAATTAGTGTTTTTAGAAAATACCATCTGAGCTAGGGAGGCTCCGGCCACCAGCTGCACGGCATTTCCGTTTACAGCCTAAGTCATCCGTTTCCGATGCCGGTCTATTTCTTTTCGATCGAACCTTCGTGGCGTGCACATGCAACAAGTTTTGTGTCTTTTAAAAAAGAATTCAATTTTGTGAAAGCCACGTGCAGGGCATATAAATATTTTGAACGAAAATATCTGTGAAAAATATAAACGCAAATCTCGGCGGCTGCCTGGCTGAAGGAAAAAAAAGGTATTTTTGGATTTTTTCCGAATTTGGCCGGCAGCACCCTCAGCATTTCTTCAGCAGGTTGGTTAAAATTATGAAATCCCATTTTTATCTGGTGCTGACCCCGATCATTGTGAATTCTTTAGATTGTGCCCGCGAGATCAGTAAATAAGTCGATGTCCCCGGGAGCACACCCAGCATAAATATGTGTGCATAAACCAACCCTGCAGTACCGTTCATCACCTTTTAATCGCTTTTTCATCACCAAAAATTCATCACTGCTGATTAATCGGCGATGAAACTTCATACAAATTAGTGATGAATTTAACATTGGCATGTCCTAGGAGTTAATCAGTGAAAAATTCATCACTCTTTAATCAGTAATTCATCACTCTTTTTTCAGTTTTTCATCACTCTTTAATCAGTAATTCATCACTCCACTCCATTTTGTCAGCTCATTTTATGGGGAGAGAGTCAGAGTAAGAGAGGGAGATGGAAATTTTTCTGCGTTGCCTACGATCGGGGACTGAGAGTTTCGGCTCTGCCTGCGTCGCACTCGGCTCTGCCGACTTTGCCTTTGTCTCTGCCGGCGTCGCAGTCCGCTGCTGATTAAACAGTGATGAATTTTTGTAGTGATGAATTTCGGAACTGCAGGGAAACCTAACGCCATCGGCGCACCTACATATGTGCATGCGCATGCAACAACAACAGGTAGGTACCTATAAGCATCAGTTTCGCCGGAAAAGTTTAATGGAAAATCCGTCAACTTAAGCAGTTTTTTTTGGGGACTTCAGCCAAACTACCGCCAGCGGCACATAATAACCCCATGGGGGTTATAGAAAAATAATCATCCCAAATCATGTACAACGCCCAGAAAGTTGTATAAACCGCAGTGCGACTCGGGATGGTTTAAACGTGTGTGATTGTGTAATGGTTTTGGCCGCCCCAACAACGCGTGCAGTGTTATCCTCTGTCCGGCTGACCTCTACCGCCTAACCTCATGCGCGCAGTGCATTTACCGTCGTTCGCTAACCATCTGCTGTTGTCGGCCTCATGTTTCGGCCTTCCTAGAAAATCTGCGTTCGATATGATTTTGTTCTGAAACCAAGCTAAAGATGTAAAAAGACTTCCGATAAAAAAAAAATCAAAACTTAATTTATCATAAATTGAAACCAAAACAATCCGGCTTTATTTGCCTCATTTTTCTAGAAATAATTTCGTCATTAAGATCCACCTAACTATAACAATTATTAGAATAATTTTCTTAAAATCTATTATAATTTAAAAGTTAAATTTCTAATGGTGACACGCGTTTAAAATATCGGGTAAAAATGGGCCAAAAGTTTATCTAAAACCGTTTCTCTAAAATTACCGTGTGAAAGTGAGTTATTCCAAAAATATGGGGTGTTAGAAAACATTTTAGAATCTTTAGCGGATGGATAAGTTGCCGTGAGTTTCTTTTACAACATTTAATTACCTTCACACCTTTTTTTTAAAACACTAATTTTTTTTTAAAACTAATTATTAAAATTTTACCCCGATTATTGTTAACGTAACTCCAAGCGCTATGCTTGCACATATTGCAGCAGCTCTCTTTGGAAAGAAAAAATACATTTTTTTGGTAAATTTTAAATAAACTACATGAAATTTAATTAGTGAAAATTATAACTAACAAGAAAGGAAAGCTAACTTCGGGCGGAGCCGAAGTTGATATACCCTTGCATTATATTCTCCAAAATTATTTATATGATGCATTCTTAATACTCATAAAAAATCCCAACTTCCTAACTTTAAAAACACCAAAGTTATGTCATTTCCCATCGTTCAGTTATATGGCAGCTATAGGATATAGTCGGCCGATCCTTATGAAATTTGGCAGGTCGGACTGATTGGCCAAAAATAAAACCCATAGATAATCCCAACTTCCTAACTTTACAAACACCAAAGTTATGGCATTTCCGATCAATCAGTTATATGGCAGCTATAGGATATAGTCGTCCGATCCTTATAAAATTTGGTAAGTCAGACTGATTAGCCAAAAATAAAACCCATAGAACTTCCTAACTTGCTAACTTGAAAAACACCAAAGTTATGGCATTTCCGATCGTTCAGTTATATGGCAGCTATAGGATATAGTCGGCCGATCCTTATGAAATTTGGCAGGTCGGATTGATTGGCCAAAAATAAAACCCATAGATAATCCCAACTTCCTAACTTTACAAACACCAAAGTTATGGCATTTCCGATCAATCAGTTATATGGCAGCTATAGGATATAGTCGTCCGATCCTTATGAAATTTTGTAAGTTAGACTGATTAGCCAAAAATAAAACCCATAGAACTTCCTAACTTGCTAACTTGAAAAACACCAAAGTTATGGCATTTCCGATCGTTCAGTTATATGGCAGCTATATGATATAGTAGCCCGATCCGGCTCGTTCCGACTTATATACTACCTGCAATAGAAAGACAACTTTTGGGAAAGTTTCAAGCGGATAGCTTTAAAACTGAGGGACTAGTTTGCGTAGAAACGGACGGACGGACAGACGGACAGACGGACGGACAGACGGACATGGCTTGATCGACTCTCCTGGTGATGCTGATCAAGAATATATATACTTTATAGGGTCGGAAATGTCTCCTTCACTGCGTTGCAAACTTTTGACTGAAATTATAATACCCTCTGCAAGGGTATAAAAATAAGTGGCCTAAGCTAAAACATTTGCTATTAATTACTATTTAAGAGCATTTTTGAATGAGAAAAATAAGACACCCATTGAAGTAAAAATTAAATTAAATTCTAAATTTATCCCGAATTATTATTGAAATTCCCATGCTTATATAATACAACTATATTTACCCATACATTTAAATTTTATTTTTACTATTTACTTTATTATAAATTTTGTATTAATATTTACATTTATTACCTTTATTTACCTTCTGTAAATATGTTTACATACACCTTGTTCCTAAAATTTTGTGAATTATCTGAATTAAAATGATAGCTAACATAAACATAACTCTACTGAACTCAGCTGATGTCTCGACGAACATAGGGTATAAAAGGGATCTCCAGAGTCATGTTCTAGCGGCAGGAGATCATAGGTAGGGTGGGCAAACATGCGAGCCCCATTACATCTCAGGCTTCCCAAACATTAAGCTTCTCTCAGTCTCTCTTCTTTTCTACTTTTCTCTCCTCAAACTCTCCTC